TATCAAAATCAAAATTAGACAACTATTTTGATGATAAACTATTGTTAAATACATTTGTCGATAGATTTGATAGATTTTGTACAAAACATTATGTATTATTTGCCAAAAATTTTGATGACTATTGTCAACAACACCGACACCACACAACAACCTAATAGACTAACTACTAGTCGTAGAGTTATCATCATTTGGCTACTGAAGCTAGCCTTTATGCTAACTGGGCTCCGGTATGSCCTAATAGGACTATTTGATCGTAATATTATTATTAGAAAATCAATGATCAACGGCCTGTATCTGTTGGGTAACTCCCGGATAATCAGTGCACTGGTATGTCTATTATGTCTACTAGCGATGGTAGCCATCTATGTGTTTACCTACTATGAACTGGTGGGACAGTTATWTCCCATTGAAATGTTAAACAATATGCRMCTCAATAAGCATCTCCTCCATCATCATCATCAGCAACATCAGCAACCATTGACCAAACGTAATCAGCGCCGGTATGCCTACAAAATGAATTTGTTAAGCAAATATGTTTTCTCATATATGTATTGGGCATTTGTTATACTACTATCGCTGTTAGCATTGATAACTACTATACTACCCTACTATCTGATGGTCGATCCATTGAACATACAGTTCCCATTGACTGCAGTCATCATATGGTCCCTGCTAACAGTATCGGCCATCTACTATATAGTTGCCATCATATTTACGGCAMTGGTAGCTACCTATTCAACTGTTACGTACGTTAAATACCAATTACAGGAACTAAACGCCCGGTTCTCACTGAGTCTTAAACTGGKAAACATTGGTCTACTTATACGTACGGTTGGCGACTATCGACAAGTAGTCCAAACTATCCATAAATTGAATATTATGTACAAATTTGTTGTATTTATCATATATTTTCTATCCGTACCCATAATCGATATGGTCCTGTATGTTATACAACATCCCCAGACAACTGGCTATACTATCGGTATAGCCATCTATGCGTTAGGTAATGTTGGCTGTCTATTGGCAATGATTAACTATGTATTGGCATCGGTCAACAAGTGTGCCCATTGGTCCCGACCATTGTTGCACCGGTATATCTGCCAACAAATGGATGGCCGGTTATCATTGAAACACCGATTAGTGATTATGGAGTTTAATGAATGGCTTTCCGATACGGATATCGGTTTCTGGTGTCTGAATATGTTTGCCATTAATAACTATATACTCTATAAGTATTGCTGTCAATTGGTTATCAATTATATATTAATTAGTAATTTGATGATTAGTTTATAGAAATATTTGTGTGTTTTTTAAAAGTTTTTTTTTAATCATTTATAATAATATTATAAATATATTTTTTTTTAATTTTAATTTATGTTTGTGTGTTTAAATGATTAGTTAAAAAGTATTCAATATATACTGTATATATATATATATATATATTTTTTTATAACTATTATAATTATAGTTATAAACTTTATTTTATTTAATTATAAGTTTGTCTAAATGATTAAATAGACTTTTAATATTTAAAAATTATTATTTTTGTTTATAAAAGATAATTAATACTTACTTGACAATAATATTTTTAAGCGTATTTTTTATAATTTATATATATATTTAAAATTAGTTATTACATTATTTATAAATATAATAGTAATTTATTGTTAAATTTATCAAATATTTGAAAATATTTATAAAACATTTAATTTACTTTATTATATGAATATATATAATATTATTTACAGTATAACACAATATTTTTTTAAAATAAAGTTTATTTAATGTCTTAACGACTATATCATAGCTGACAATACATTAACAACACATGATTTAATATGTAATAATTGAAAATATTAAAAAAAATCAAATCAAATATCATATCAATCATTTTATTAATAATTTTTTTTGCTAAAATTTTGAATTATTGTATTTTTCCAGTTTACTGCATTATGACTTTTAAAAAAATAATTATTAATTAAAAAATTAATTATTAAATAAAAAAATAATTATTAAATAAAAAAATAATTATTAAATAAAAAAATAATTATTAAATAAGAAAATAATTATTAAATAAAAAAATAATTATTAAATAAGATAACAATTATTAAATAAAAAATAATTATTAAATAAAAAAATAATTATTAAATAAAAAAAATGATTAATTTTATATTTACTATTTTACTACTACTATTGATAGATATAATAATGTTGATATAGTTTATAATTTAAAATACAAATTTTGTATTTATTAAATAAATTTATATATAAAAAATTATAATATATTTAAAATACAATGAAAATAATTATTATTATTATTACTTTATAAATATAAATATTGTATAAATTATTAAATTACTACTACTACTACTATTAATATTTAATAATTTTATTTTAATTTTTTTAAAAAAGCATAGTCATAATGCAGTAAAATTATAATACTATTTTAGCATAATTTATTGATACAGTGATTTATTTTGTAAAAAAATATTTTTTTTATCATTAATATACAATAAATTTTAAGATAATTAGTATAATTAGTAAAATTCTGAAACATTCAACATGATTATGATAGATAATTAATCATTAAATATAATAATAAATAATCATTAATTAGAAATATATATATATATACTGTTCTGCTGCAATAAAAGTGAGAATTATACTGTATTGAAAAGTAACTTTATATTTGTGCGACCCATTGTAATATTTACAAATTTTGTTTGTTGACAAAATATAACAGTCATTACTAGTCTTCAATTGTGTTATTAAATATTTGTGATATCTCTTGTGATGGAACCGTTAGAATGCCTAAACTCACATGACGTTCGGGTGAGATATGCCATGGAATATGAATATCGTCGCGGAACTCCACCATCAATAGCCGCTGCAAATATCAATGAGGTCTACCCGAAAGCCGTTGGTGAGAGCACATGTTATCGTTGGTGGAAGAGATGGAAAGAAGAAGGGGTTAATGTAGAAGACAAAGAAAGACCAGGACAACCATCGAAGATTGACAACGAAGTATTGACGGATCTGATTGAAATGAATCCAAAATTTTCAACTAAAGAGCTCGGTGATATACTTGAAGTTGATGCTACTACCATTCAAAGACATTTGAAAGCCATTGGCAAGAGATATGTGTCATCTGTTTTGGTACCACACGATCTCACTCCTCAGCAAATGGCAAAACGTGTAGAAGTATGCCAACAATTGCTTTCTCGAGAGAATTCTGACGGTTTTATAAGACATATGATAACCGGTGATGAAAAGTTGATATACTATGTCAACGCTGATAAAAGGAGTGAATGGAGAAGTCCGGAACAACTACCTGTTGGGACACCACGACCAGATTTTCGTCAACAGAAAGTAATGTTGTCTGTTTGGTGGGATAAGACGGGAATAATCCACTGGGAACTGTTGGAAGTCGGAGCCACTATTACAGCTGAAGTCTATTGTCAACAATTAACAAGACTTCGTGATAAGCTTTTCGAAAAGCGTGGTTCATTGATAAGATATTGGGGCGTTAAGTTTCAACAGGATAACGCCCCATCACATACTGCAAAGAAGACCAAAGACCTATTGAAGGAGTTTGGGTGGGATGTTGTGGATCACCCGCCATATTCACCAGATATTGCTCCTTCAGATTATTATTTGTTCCGATCAATGCGACACTTTCTTGATGAAAAAAAATTCAAAAATCGAGAAGAGGTCAAAATGGCAGTTCAAGAGTTTTTCGATTCACAACCAGAGGAATGGTATTCCAAAGGAATTTATGAGTTGCCGAACAAATGGAGAGATGTCATAGATTTAAATGGCGATTATATTATTAATTAATAAAAATTAACTTTTTTGTAAAATCAAATTAAAAACTTGCTATTTTATTCTCATGATTATTGCAGCGGATCAGTATATATATAAAATACCGTTAAACAAAAAAAAAATTATACATTTTTTCTTAATAATATATTTTTTTATTAAGCTATAAAAGTATATAAAAAGATTGAATTTATCTAAAAAAAAAATTTATATTTATAAAAGTATTTTTTGTTAACTAAAAATTTTGTTATTAAAATATTTTTGTTTTATTATAAAATTATTATTTAAAAAAAAACAACAACAATGAACAAAATTATTATTATACTTATAGTAATTTCCTATGTAATGATGGCCACAATGAGTAAGTTTTTAATACAATATATATTTTATATATATATAATTAATTACTTTTATATTTTTTTTGTAATAAAAAAAGTTAATTTTAATAGTTTTTTTGTGTGTGTGTGTATATAATGCTAATTATAATTTATATTCAATTATTTAGGTTTTATAATACCCGACAGTAACAGTACTGATATACTACCGAACCGATCGGCTGATTGTTATATTTGTTCAAACGCTTGTTCAGCGATCTACTGTTGCACTGGTAGTCATCCTCAGTGTTGTGTTATTGGCGGCTATTGTGGTTGTTGTAGTCGTTAAACTAAAGACATTGTTAATAATAATTAATTTTTAATTTTTAAAAATAAAATATTTTATTATTATATAATGTTATACACTGTATATATATATATACTGTATATATAAACTGTATATATACTGTATATGATATATATATGTAGAAAATATAGAAATATTTTAAAAATTATTAATATTGAATTTTTATAATTATAATTACAATCTATTATTTACGAGTAAATACTTAGTTATTTTTTATTATTTTTATTATTTTTAAATTTTTATTATTACATTGTAATTGATTGTAAACAGTTATATATTATATGAAATATATTATAATATTAAATAATGCTAATAAATAAAAATATAAATGTATTGAATAATAATGTTTTAAAAGATTTATTTATTTGAATTTTTAAAAAAAAAATTACAATATTGTGAATTGTATAAAAAAAATTTATAAAAAAAAATATTATTAATAATATTTGTTATAAATTTTATTTTTAGGAAATTTTTTGAAAAATTTAGAAAAGTTTGGAAATTATTTTTTAAAAATCTTGAAATTTAGGAAACTCTGGAAAGTTATGAAACTTTAGAAAGTTATGACTGTTATGATTGTTAGGACTGTTAGGAAGGATAGGACTGTTAGGAAGGGTAGGACTGTTTGGTTGATGACTATTATTATTATCATTACCAATAAATTTGAATGCACAATCCTAAAAATTTAAAAAAAAAATAATAATTAAAAAATCAAATTTTCGTACAAATAGCTAGTTAATAAATACATAAAAAAAAAATTTTTTTTTTCAAAAAAAAAACAATACTTACATAATATACGCTAGCGTATTTACCAAATTGTTCCAAGCTGATTTTCTGTTTCAATTCAATGATTAGGGGATTATTATGACTTTTTAGTATTTTACATGTCGACATTGCCATTGAACATGTTGAATATAGAAAACGTTTTACAGTTTGACCATCTACAGTATTGGCCAACCAATCGACTTTGGTATAGGTGCTCAGTTCGGCAGCTATTCTATCATTTTGTTCAACCATACATTCAGCAATTATTTTGTTATACTGTTTTGTTGTTGTTTTTATTTTTAAAGAAATAAATTTAAATTTTTACTTATTTTTAACTTATTATTATTATTATTACTTATAATTAGTTATAATAAATATAAATAATAAATTAAGTAAAAATAAGTATTAATTAATTTATAATAAGTAATAATAACTAAATAATTTTACTTATTATTACTTATAATTACTTATTATTACTTATTATTAGTAAAAATAAGTAAAGATAAGTAAAGATAAGTAAAGATAAGTAAAAATAAGTAATAATAAGTAATAATAAGTAATAAGTAATAATTAGTAATAATTAGTAATAATTAGTAATAATTACTTATTTTTAACTTATTTTCAACTTATTTTCAACTTATTTTCAACTAACTTGACTATAATATTGTTGTAATAAATCTGAACTTTGATTCGTTGTTTTTTGCTTACAATCCCTAACTTTGCGTACAATATCAGTGTCGGTACGGTTTGGCTGACAAAACAATTTATCCAATTTCTCTACGTTTGCAAACATTCCGTGCAATCCGTTATCATTTTTTATAAGATTTTTGCTGCCATTAGTATTGTTGTTATTGTTGTTGTTGTTAGGGTTGTCATTATGTGTAATATTCATAACATTAAATGCACATTCCTTTAGAATTTACAAATAAAACAATTAATATAAACAACAAATATTTATATATATATTATTTAAAAATTTTTATTTACATAATTCAATTTAGCCGCTAAATGAAGATCATCGTAAGTGTATATTGCTGAATATTGTTTTATTAATTGATCATGTTGACTTTTCAGGATTTTACATTTTGACATTTTAGGCGAACATTGAGAATATAGATAACGTTTGACAATATTAACATCACTAGCATTTATAAGATTTACTTTAGTATAATCTTTTAACTCTGTATTTAAACTATCTTTTTCCTCTTCCATACAAATGTCAATTATTTTTTGAATCTATAAAAATATTAAATAATTATTAAAAAAAAATTTATTAACTATTAACTAATTAGTTCTAAACTACTAACTATTATTAACTAATTAGTTCTAAACTATTAACTAATATTAACTAATTAGTTCTAAACTATTAACTATTATTAACTAATTAGTTCGGAACTATTAACTATTATTAACTAATTAGTTCTAAACTACTAACTATTATTAACTAATTAGTTCTAAACTACTAACTATTATTATTTAATTAGTTCTAAACTATTAACTATTATTAACTAATTAGTTCTAAACTATTATTAACTAATTAGTTCTAAACTATTATTAACTAATTAGTTCTAAACTATTATTAACTAATTAGTTCTAAACTATTATTAACTAATTAGTTCTAAACTATTATTAACTAATTAGTTCTAAACTATTATTAACTAATTAGTTCTAAACTATTATTAACTAATTAGTTCTAAACTATTATTAACTAATTAGTTCTAAACTATTATTAACTAATTAGTTCTAAACTATTATTAACTAATTAGTTCTAAACTATTATTAACTAATTAGTTCTAAACTATTATTAACTAATTAGTTCTAAACTATTATTAACTAATTAGTTCTAAACTATTATTAACTAATTAGTTCTAAACTACTTACTTGATTATAATTTTGTACAACAGCTTCGGGACTAATTTTTGCTGTTTGTTGTTCGCAATTCCAAACTTTGCGTACAATATCACTATCGGTACGGTTTGGCTGACAAAACAATTTATTAAATTTATCGATATATCGGAAAGCGTTACTCATTTTATCATTATTTTCCAGTAATTTACTGCTATTTTGTTGAATATTTTTATTATTCAACAAATTATTTGTCAAATTGTTTAGATTAGTGGTGTTGTTAGCGCTGATTGTTTGACCATTGATTGTGTTTTGGACATTAATTGACTGATTAATATATGCCAACAATAGCATTGATAAACTAATTAATAACCAGACGGCCATTTTGTTTAATTTTGTTTTTAATTAATTTTCTGTTAGTTTTAAAAATATAGAAAAATTAATTAATTATTTATTTAGAAAATATAGTATTAAACTACAAAATAGTGTAAATTTTTCAAAATAATTAATGTTTATATATATATAAATTATTATTATTATTATTCTACGAATTTAAATAAATAAATAATTACTATTATAATAATTAATACAAATAATAATTGCTTACCTATTAGTTTTAAAAAAATTAATTATAATTATTTTTTTCAACCAAAAAATTTTTACTTTACTTATCAAAACTATTTCTTCATTTAACTAATAAATATTATATACTTAATATATAAATGTTGTTTTATTTAATTAAATATTTAATTAATTAAAAAAATAAGACATAAGTATCTGTTTTTTAAAGAAATATTTTTATTAAAAAATGTAATTGAATTACAAAGTGTTTTTGATACATATTAAGTAACTTTATTTTACAAAATAATTTTTTTTGAAAACATATTTTTCAAAATAAATAATTATAATAGTGCTATAATATTAATTAAAAAAAGTTATACTAATGTAACTATAGTTTTATTTATTTTATTAACAAAAAAGTTAAAAAAAATATTATATATAGATATAAAACTGTACTTTATTTAGTTAAAAAATAATTAGGATTTTATTTATTTTATTGTTTATTAAAATATAATAAATATTATTATCTGTATTATAATTTTTTTATAAAATTCATTAAAAAATGTTAATAATATTTTTTAAATATTTTTTTAATTAAAATAGATCCTATGTTTACTAATTATTAAAAAATAAATCAAATAAACTATAAATACTATCAAAAAAAAACAATTATTTTATATTTTTCTGGAATTTATCAATCAATGTTTTGATAAATAATATAATTTTAACAAAAATAAATAATACTATTAAATATTAAATAAGTTTAAAAAAAACTAATAACTATAATTAAAAAAAAAATACTAAAATCTATTTATTTAGTTAAAAAATAATTAGGATTTTATTTTATATTTTTACAAATAAATTTCTGGCCATAATTTTTTTAGCCGCAATCCGTTTACCGGTTTACTGACTACGGCATTAAACAGCTTATTTGTGTCGACCGATCGGACCCGATTTGCGGCCATTAACTTTTTGCGCCGACAACACTATGTTTGGGCAACCAATTGTGGGGGTGGGGGGGGGGTAGGTAAAACACTGGACAAATATAACGGTTGTGCTAGAAACGGCCGAAAACGGTATGTAAGCAAACGGGTCGACGACCACTACCGGTGCGGCTGCTGCTGCTGCTGTATGTGTTGTTACTTACCGGGACTAGTAGTAACCGGAGCTATTAGTAGTGCCGATAAAAGCGCTCGGGTTTGAACTCAAGCGTATCGTACCGGTTAGGACACACGACTGTCCCAAAATGCATACGTCCTATACAGATAAAAAAACAGCGCCGAACCGGCCGGTACACTGTATACTGACCGCCAATCGCTAGATCCTGGCGTATGTCGCGCCTAATGACCGGCGGATACAGGCGTAACGATTCCCGGAGTACGGCATCCAAGTAAGGCATACGGCGTAGTTGGTCGCCGCGGACATCGGTGTCGGCAACGATAGACTGGGCATCCAATTCCTGATGCAAACGGCGCTGAACATCGGGATACAGACCCAACAGATACAGTGTCCACGACATACATAGGGCACTGGTGTCGTGTCCGGCAAACATAAAAGTGTCCACTTCTTCCCGGATGTCTTCAAGTGTTAGTCCAGGACACGTAACGATTCCCGGAGTACGCAATCCAAGTAAGGCATACGCCGTAGTCGGTCGCAGTCGGACATCGGTGTCGGCAGCGATCGACTACGGCATCAATTTTTTTTTAATAATAATAATAATAAATAATTTATTGTTTTGAAAAAATATATATATATATTGTGTTAAAAAAACTAATAGAATTAATAATTATATGTTTTAATCAAATAATTTGAATAAATAGTTAATATTATTAGAAAAATAATTCCATAATTTTTTTTAAAAATTTAATGAAAAAAATATTATTATTATTTAAATTAATGAACTATAGAAGTAATAGTTTAATAGAAATTGATAATTAAAAACTATTTATTTATTTATTTTTGAAAATGTTTTACATTGTATTTCAATAAATTATTTTTTTTTTAAAAATAAAAGTAATTATATTGTTAAATAAAAAATAAAATTGATTTCCAATAATAATATTAATATTAAAATATATTTATACAATAAATATAGTATATATAGGAAAAGTTTTGAGTAATTTTTTTCTGTTATTTTAAGTAATTAAATAAATTATTTTATTATTTTTCTAATAATTATTTTTAGAAAAAAAACTAATTGTTTTGTTTTTCAAATAATTTGTTGTTTTTTTTTATTTATTATTACCTTTTTATGTATATTAATAATTATCTATTTAATATATATATATATTTGAAATTAATTGTTTTGTTTTGTTTTTATTTTCAATAATATTTTATCCATAGTAACTTTAAGTCAATTACTATGTAGATTAATTTAATAAAAAAATTTAATTACAAATAATTTACATTTATTTAATAAACATTTACTAATTAATACACTATTGATGATAAAATTAGTCTAATGTCTAGACGTGTTAGTATAAACATCAATATATTTCAAGTTTATTGTATTGGTGTATAGATTAATTAATAAAATAAAAAAAGTTTGTGAATTAGTATAATATATAAAATTAAAGTTAATTGTCTTCTTTTAAAAAACTAATATATTTATTTAATAAAAATGAAATTTTTAAATCTAAAATCATTATTATATTTTCATGTTGTTTGCGGTTCACTATATCAATCATTTAAATTAATACAATTATATTTATCATTTGAATTGACAACAAATGTTGAATTTAAATCAATTAAACAACATATTGATCCACCAGCTATTTCAATATGTATTAATAAGGATAGCCTATTAAATAATACAGTACGCAATAAATATATTGTCACCAAGTTTAATAAATTGTCTAATACTACTGTAAAATATTTTGATTTGGATATATTTAATAGTGAAATAACAATTGATGACCAAAATTCACTATTTATACCAATAAAAACATTAATTTCATGTAAAGTATTTCAAAACAAACGTCCCATAAATTGTGCTGAAATATCTCCTTATAAATATAGTTATAGTAGTGAAAGTTATTGTTTAATGATGTTTACTAAATTTGATAACAATAATAATAAATATTTAATTGATAATAAATTGGCACAAAATTCGATAATTATTAAGCTTCGAAATAATACTATATTTAACAATTTAATTAGTTTTATCAAAGTGATATTTCATGATAATAGTGAATCATTATATTATGGCGAAAATAATGTATTAGTAACTGATAAAAATAATCTTAACAATTTGCATATTTTATTTAGTCGTATAACAAAAATCAAAAATTAACATCAAATCAATGTTTTTATCAATGTTATATTAATAATTATTATAATAATTATAATAATTATCCTAAATCAATATTATATCACAATAATAATTTAATTAAAAATTTATTATTTGACAATAAAATTTATGACAATAATATTAATAATTATTGTATAGACAAATGTTTGCATATAATTGATTATACATCCTATGTCTATGAATTAAGCCATAATATAAATTATAATAATGATTTAATTAATACTAGTTACATAATAGATATTTATTTTAGTCACCTGGATGAATATATTTATGTAACTAGTTATCGATTATTATTTATTGAATTTTTTTCACTAATAGCAAGCTTAGTTAGTCTATATTATGGTACAACCATTATACAATTTACGAATATTATTGAAAAATTTTTAAAACAATTTATTAATAAATTTATTATTTATTCAAAAAGCTTTTATAATTATATATTTAACGTACAAGTAAATCATACTAGTTTAAAATTAAATGTTGTTTATAAAAATAAAATTGTATATAAGTAAAAAAAATTATTTATTGTAAACCATTGTAAACCATTGTAAACTATTGTAATTTTATTTATAATAATTGTAATATATGTAAAAATTTTAATTAGAAGAAATATTCAATAAATAATTATAAATATTGCTGTTGTAATAAATTATGTATAATTTGTTTATATAAATTAGTTATAAAATTTTTTTTTAAGTAATTTAAACAATTTTAATTTATTTAATTATTCATACATTAAACATAAAATATAATTTATTTCAACAATTAATTACTACTTCACACACATAGAAAAACAATAAAAACTATTAAGAATAATAATAATCTAAATTTTAAAATTTTTTTTTTAATAATTACTGTAATTATTTTTATAATAATATTATAGTTCTCTACAATTGTTTCGTAATTCAATTTGTGTACGAAAATCACCTGGATACTTAATAATATAACATTTACTATCAATAGGACAACAAAAATCTTTATAATAGTCCTCCTGTTCACAGTATCTTTCATCTGATTTACACTTTTTTTTATGATTATTATGATTACCATCGTTGCCATCAACTAAATTGATAACAAATATTAATAACAATTATATATTAATTATGAAATATTTATTATGAAAATACAAACAAAATAATAATAATAATAAATACATATTATAATTGTTATATTGTAATCTAATTAATATATATATATATATATATATATATATATATATATAATTTTTCGAAATATTAAGACATGAACAATATAAAAAAAATAATAATTTTTTAAAAATAATATTTATTACTAATAATTATACAGTACTTACTTAAAGTAATTAACATAAATAAACAAACAGCTAATAGTATAAACTTTAACATTTTAGTCATTTTGTTTGTGTGTGTGTTTTTTTAATTAAATTTGTTTTATTTAATTTTAATTAAAAAAAAATTATTTTTCTTAATGTTTATATACTTTTTCTAATATTAAATAATTTTTTAAATAATGCTTTGTAATATAAAGTAAACACATTTTTATAGTTTCAATAAACTTTTATATATTTTATTTATTAACACTAATTGTAAAACTATTATTTTTATAGTTCATTAATATAATAAATAATAATAATTTTTCATTAAATTTATGAAATTTTATGGAATTATTTTTTTTATAATGTTAACTATTTATTCAAATTATTTATTAAAACATTTTATTAGTTTTTTAACACAATATATATTTTCTTTAAACAATAAATTATTTATTATTATTAAAAAAAATTGTTGAATTGTTTATTAAAATATATTTATTATTATAACCTTTATTATTATTTTTATAAAAATCAGATTAAAATCTATTATTATTGCTTTACTGATATTTATTTAAGTATAATATATTTTCTAATTAAAATAAATAAATTAAAATTATTTTACTTGAATTACTGAATTTATTCATAAATAATATAATTTTAACAAAAATAAATAATATTTTTAAATATTAAATAAGTTTTAAAAAAAACTAATAACTATAATATCATATACAGTATAATCTAAAATATTTAAAAAAAAACTAAAAACTATTTATTTAGTTAAAAATAATTAAGATTTAGTTATTATTATTATTTATTTAATTATTTTTTTTTTGTTTAATTTCTGGCCATAATTTTCAGCCGCAATCCATTAACCGTAAATATGTTAACCATATGTTAAATATGTTTTAATAATTTATTTATAATAAAAGAAAAACAATACAAAATAAATTAGCATATATATATTAGACTATATAATATAATTATATTATTATTATTTTAAAAATAAAAATCAAATCAAATTAATTAACTTTTTTGTTTATTATTAACATAATTAATAATTATAATTATATTCTATTATAATTATTTTTTTTTAAAGATAAAAATCAAATGAAAATTAATTAATTTTTAATTTTTCTACAATATCTTTGTAATTGAATGGCTCGTTGTTTATCGCCTTGAAAACTAAATACAGGACAATCATCATCAATGAAACAACAATAATCTGTATAATAGTCCTCCTGTTCACAGTATCTTTCATCTGATTTACACTTTTTATGGTTATTATCGTTACCACCATCTGATTGAACTAAATGTTATAATAATAACAAAATTAATTTTTTTTCTAAATAATATAATAAAAAAATATACAGTATGTTATATTTGAATATTGTTTAATAATTAAAAATATAGAACTTTTTTATTTTTTTTTTTTTTAATTTACATACAATTAACAAATTATTATTATTATTTTTAGACAAAAAATTATATCATAAATATAATTAACCAATATTTATTTTTAAAAAAAATTAATAAATAATATACCTACTCAAGTTAATCAACATAAATAAACAAACAGTTAATAGTATAAACTTTAACATTTTGGTGAATTTTTATGTTGTGTATGATTTTATTAGAAATTTGTTTTATTTAATTTAAATTAAAAATAATATTTTTCTTAATGTTTATAAACTTTTTTTTTAAACATATAAAATATTTTTTCTAAAAATTCTTTTTAATATAAAATAAACACATTTTTATAGTTTCAATAAACTTATATAATTTATTTATTAACATTAATTGTTAAAACAATTACTTTTATAGTTCATTAATATAATAAATAATAAAAAAATTATATAATTTTCATTAAATTTAAGGAATTTTTGTGGAATTATTTTTCTAAAAATATCAATTATTTATTCAAATTATATATTAAAATATATAATTAATTATTTTTAGTTTTTTAACACAATAAAATATTTTCTTTAAACAATAAATTATTTATTAATTTTAAACATTTTTTACATTATAAATACTTTTATTAATTTATATAATAATTAATTTTTTTAAATATGATAAATTGTTTATTAAAATATAATAAATATTATTATCTGTATTATTTTTTTATAAAGATCACATTAAAAACTATTATTAATATTTTTATATATTTTAATTACAGTAAAATAATTCTTATGTTTAGTAATTATTTAAAAAAATAAATAAAAATAAACTTTAAATATAATACTATCATAAAAATATTTTATTTTATATTTTACTTGAATTTATCAATCAATGTATTTATAAATAATATATTTTTAACAAAAAAAATAATACTATTAAATATTAAATAATTTTAAGAAAACTAATATCTATAATAAAAAAAACCTTAAAAATCTATTTATTTAGTTTAAAAATAATTATGTTTTAGTTATTATTTATTTAATATCTATTTTACAAATTACTGATTTTAGTGAAAAAATTGCTAAAAAATTTAAAACAAAATTTATTATTAATCCAAAAAATTTTTATAATTATATATTTAACGTAAAAGTTAATCATAGTAGTTTAAAATTAAAGGTTGTTTATAATAAAACAATTGTTTATAAGTAGAAAATATCTAATATAAAATATTTTAATTAATTTTTAAATATTTGTAATAAATGTATAAATTTATAAAAGAAATAATTAATCGAAAAATTATGTATATTATTATTAAAATAATTGTTTTTAAGCATTATAAAAATTAATTATAAAAATAACAATTTTAATTCATTCATTTTAAATACACATATATAAAAATCAATTGTTTGTACATAGAAAATAAATACATTATTTAATTTTTAAATTTTATTAAATGTTTAATAAAAAAATTCTATAATTATGATTTATTAATTTTATATTAGATATAATTAAATTTTATTTAAATTTTATAAATAAATTAATATATTAACTATTATTTACTAAAAATTTTTTAACAAAATATTTAATTATTTATTTTTCTACAATTGTTTTGTAAACTAATCCAACCATTAAAATCGCCTAAAGGTTTAATAGTAATACATTCATCATCAATGAAACAACAAAAATCTGTATAATAGCCCTCCTGTTCACAGTATCTTTCATCTGATTTACACTTTTTATGGTTATTATGATTACCACCATCTGATTGAACTAATAATAATAATAATAATAATAATAATAATAATAATAATAATAATAATAATAATAATAATAATAATAATAATAATAATAATAATAATAATAATAATAATAATAATAAGAGGAGGCACAGTGGTGTAGTGGTTAGTGTGTAGGGCTAGTAGAGTAATGGAGAGTAAGATCGTGAGTTCGAGCCCTGATGTGGAAAGCAATTTTTCTGAGAAAAAAAAATTGTTTTAACTGTGCTTCCCGTCCCTGCCCAACCAACGCTGTTTAGGACGGCCAACTTAAGTAGTATGGGGAAAGCGGGGTGCTAAGTGAGGACGAGTTTCTGCCCGACCCGGGTATCGGTACTTCGGTATCGGTGCCCACCTGGGGGTACCCGCAAGGGTACTCCCACCCGGGGGTGCCTGTAAAAAGGTGCCCCCACCCCGAAGGGACGTCCGCAAGGATGTCCCTTCACCCTTCGAGTAGTTACTCGTCCTCACACGCAATGGCCACTTTTGTTTCAAAAAAATAAAAATAAAAATCCTATTTCAACAAACACATGTTAGTGGTGAGAAATGGGTGGCAATAGACACATGTTAGTGTTGAGCTTTCTCTAGGGACCGGGACCCCGTAAAAAGGCCACAAAATATATAAATATGATTACACGTAGTCGTAGGAATAACGAGGGGTGTTCGGGAGGTACCCTCTCAAATAAATCCCGCGTTCAGCAGGTAGGCATTGACTGCAGTTCGATAAGTATGCATCATATCCCACGCAGTGATGTGCTATGCGGGCAAAGCTGTGATGTAATGCGACCGCAGACCAGTCAACAAAATCAGACTAACCGCCAAAATGTTTCAGTTCAAGCTGGTTCTCAGCGACAACTGACCAATTTGGTTGAAAAATCGCAAAAGCGCATGAAATGGACACATGAGATGAATACCTTGATAATGCGCGAATACTACAGATCAACTCGACTCGAAACAAATATGACTGATTACAGAAACCAAATATACTTAGCATTCAAACAGAAATATCCAGAACTAAATGTAACGGAACAAAGAATTGCAGACCAACGGCGATTCTTAGCAAAGAATAATAAAATATCCCCGATTGAATTACAAGAAATCAAACAACAAGTGGCACATGAACTATCATTAAATGAAACAACTGAATTAAATACCACAGTAGAAGTAGTGCCAGAAATAGAAGAGACACCTACAACAACAGATAACATAAACAATACAAATGATGAAATAAAAAGAATAACAGCAGAAAATGAACTAAAAACATCTTTAGAACAATATAAAGACTTTGAAATAGAATTCAGACCTAAATTACCAAAAATAAGAAGTGGCATTAAAACAAGATCTACTATAATAACGATAAATGATATACTTAAAGATTACATCGAAGAAAATATGTCGTTGAGCGCGATTAATACAATAACGTATTGTGCAGCAGTAGCAGTATCGAGACTCTTAGGCTACAAAATAGAACACATGTCTACAACAAAACCAAATCAAGAAAATGTAATACCTAAATGGCAAAAGCGAATAGAGACACGGATAGAAGGGAAAAGAAAAATAATTGGAAGAATAACGCAAGTGTTAAATGGAATCAAATCAAAAAGACTTAACCAATCATTAAAAGATATATACCGATCATTACAGACAAAACCTGGAAAACCTGAATTTGAATCCATAATCCGAAATTACAACGACACATTAAAACAAACAGTTCAAGCACTATCACAAAGAATTAGAAGATATAAAATACAAAGCGAAAGACGAAAACAAAATACAATGTTCTATAATAACGAAAAAATGTTCTATAGAAATCAAAATAAAATAAATTCAAGCAATAATAACAATACACCACAAATAGATGAAATAGAAAACTACTGGAAAGAAATCTGGAGTAACCCAAAGGAATATAAAGAATCTAATTGGATAAATGATATTGAATATGAAAATAAAGAAATACCACATATGACTTCAGTAAATATAATTAAAGATGACTTAACCGAAGCCCTCAATAAATCCCACAATTGGAAAAGCCCAGGACAAGACAAAATACAAAACTTCTGGTACAAACACTTTACAACAATACATGAACCAATGGCAATAGCAATGGATAAAATAATACAAACAGGACAAACCGATGACTTCCTCACTTCCGGAATAACATATCTACTCCCAAAAACAGAAAATACATCAGATCCCAGCAAATATAGACCAATCACTTGCTTAACAACAATGTATAAAATCCTAACATCCATAATATCAACAAAAATATATAATCATTTAAGCAACAACAACATAATAGCACAACAAAAAGGCTGTATAAAACACTCTATGGGCTGTAAAGAGCAATTAACAATAGACAATATCATAACAATAAGAGCTCGTCAAAAACATAGAAATCTTGAAATGGCATACATAGACTATAAGAAAGCATTCGATTCAGTCCCTCATAAATGGTTATTAAGAGTATTAAAACTATATAAAATTGACAACACATTGATAAACACATTAGAAAATATGATGAAAAAATGGAATACTAAATTGTGTGTCAATACAAATAATGGAACAAAAATAAGTACAGAAATCAAAATAAATAGAGGAATATTTCAAGGAGATTCACTCAGTCCTCTGTGGTTCTGCTTAGCCATAAACCCACTGTCATCACTACTTAAAAAGCTAAAAGGCGTAAATCTAAAATCAAGTGATACAAAATATAATCTAACACATCTACTATATATGGACGACTTAAAACTATACGCCGAAAAAGAATCTGATTTAAATGCAATGCTAAAAACAACAGAAACTTTCTCCAATGATATAAATATGGAATTCGGATTAGATAAATGTGCTATAATGAAACTGAAAAGAGGAGTCTATTCTGAAAGAAATCAATACGAAACTGAAAATGGATATATAAAGGCACTAGAAAATGGAGATATATATAAGTACTTAGGAATTAAGCAAATGCATAAATCTAAAATGACAGAAGTTAAAGAAGAAATAAAGAAAACATTAAACCAAAGAATAATAAAAATACTAAAATCTCAACTAAACTCAAACAACAAATTCAAAGCCATAAACACTTGGGATATACCTGTACTGACATACTCGTTCGGAATAATAAAATGGAGTAAAACAGAACTTGAGACCATTGAAAGACATATAAGGCGACAACTTACAATGTTTGGACTACACCACCCTAGAAGTTCTGTAGCACGACTGTGTGTTAGTAGAAAGCATGGGGGTAGAGGGTTACTAAACATTGTAAGCCTTGAAGCCAAACAGCGAGAATTGCTGAGAAAATACCATCAACAAAAATGCAATGTCTCAGAGCTCCACAAAATAACATCAACACTTGATTACAACTACACACCTCTAAATCTCAGCAATAATGAACATCAAATAGAAATTCAAAATGAAAAAGAGAGGATTAACACATGGGCCTCAAAAGAACTCCACGGTAGATACAGAGCAGAACTCAACCAAACACACGTAGACGAAGAAATGTCTACAAAATGGTTGAAGTACGCCGGTCTTCATGGAGAGACAGAGGGGTTCATGATGGCAATACAAGATCGAGTGATTCCGACACGAAACCATCAGAAATACATCCAAAAGCTAAATATACCAACAGACAAGTGCAGGATGTGTCATATGGAGTCCGAAACAATAGAACATATACTAAATGGGTGTAAAGTACTCACAAACACCGAGTACCTAAGCCGTCACAACCAAGTAGCCAAAATCATACATCAGGAACTGGCAATAAGATTCGGATTAATCAAAGAACCATTACCATACTATAGATACGAGCCACAAAGTGTAATGGAAAGCAACAGAGCCAAGCTCTACTGGGATAAAGAAATAAGAACAGATAAGACTGTGGCCCACAACCGCCCAGATATAGTACTAGTAGACAAACATCAAGATAAGGCGTACATAATAGACATAGCGGTCCCACTAACACACAAACTACAGGACACGCATAGTGAGAAACGCCGAAAATATACAGACTTGGCCTATGAGATCAATAAGATGTGGCGCATTAAGAAAGTTGAAATCATACCTATAATCCTGTCATCAATGGCCGTAATACCGAAAAATCTGGCCATAAGTTTGGAATCACTGGAAATCAGAAAAACTAAGATCTATGAAATGCAAAAAGCAGTGATACTTCAGAGTTGTAGAACAGTCAGAAAAGTACTAGACTTGAGTTGAGTCTAACCAGTCGTGTCTCTGCCACCAAAAGTGGCCGACACAATTGTGATCACACCGGAACAACCGTGATATTAAAAGATAATAATAATAATAATAATAATAATAATAATAATAATAATAATAATAATAATAATAATAATAATAATAATAATGATAATAATAATAATAATAATAATAATAATAAAAATAATAATAATAATAATAATAATGATAATGATAATAATAATAATAATAATAATAATAATAATAAAAATAAAATATAGAATTTTAATTTTATTTTGCTGACAACAAATAAAAAAACAACATATAAAAAATATTTTTTAAAAATATTTATTATTATTATTGTAAATACTTACTCAAATTAATCAACATAACTAAACAAACAGTTAATAGTATAAACTTAAACATTTTGTTTATTTTTTGTGTTATTTTATTTTTATATTTGTTTTATTTAATTTTAATAAAAATAATTATTTTTCTTAATGTTTATATACTTTTTTAAGGATATAAAATATTTTTGCTAAAAATGCTTTGTAATCTAAAATAAACACATTTTTATAGTTTCAATAAACTTTTATATAATTTATTTATTAACATTAATTGTTAAACTATTACTTTTATAGTTCATTAATATAATAAATAATAATATTTTTTCATTAAATTTATGAAATTTTATGGAATTATTTTTCTAATAATGTTAACTATTTATTCAAATTATTTATTAAAACATTTTATTAGTTTTTTAACACAATATATATTTTCTTTAAACAATAAATTATTTATTATTAATAAAAAAATTGTTGAATTATTTATTAAAATATATTAATTATTATAATCTTTATTATTATTTTTATAAAAATCTGATTAAAATCTATTATTATTGCTTTACTGATATTTATTTAAGTATAATATATTTTCTAATTAAAATTATTTTACTTGAATTACTGAATTTATTCATAAATAATATAATTTTAACAAAAATAAATAATACTTTTAAATATTAAATAAGTTTTAAAAAAAACTAATAACTATAATATCATATACAGTATAATCTAAAATATTTAAAAAAAAACTAAAACTCTATTTATTTAGTTAAAAATAATTATGTTTTAATTATTATTATTATTTATTTAATTATTTTTTTAGTTAATTTCTGGCCATAATTTTCAGCCGCAATCCGTTAACCGGTTTACTGACTACGGCATTAAACAATCGTAACTTATCACGCGTGTCGACCGACTCGACCCGATAGGCGGCCATTAGTTTGGCCAACACTATCTTCAGCTCCAATTGGGCAAAACGTTGGCCAATACAGTTGCGCGAACCGGCCGAAAACGGTATGTAAGCAAACGGATCGACAACCACTACCGGTGCTACTGCTGCTGCTGTAGGTGTTGCTACTGACCCGACAGTAGTAACCGAGCTATTAGTATTGGCCAGAAAGCGCTCGGGTTTGAACTGTAGCGGATCGTCCGGATAGACACGACTGTCCAAATGCATACGGCCTATACAAACAAACAGTGATGAACCGGCCGGTACTGTATACTGACCACCGACGACCAGATCCTGGCGTATGTCGCGCGTAATGATCGGTACCGGCGGATACAGGCGTAACGATTCCCTGAGTACGGCATCCAAGTAAGGCATACGGCGTAGTTGGTCTCCGCGGACATCGGTGTCGGCAGCGATCGACTCTGAGTCCAATTCCTGATGCAAACGGCGCTGAACATCGGGATACAGACCCAACAGATACAGTGTCCACGACATGCATAGAGCACTGGTGTCGTGTCCGGCAAACATAAAAGTGTCCACTTCTTCCCGGATGTCTTCAAGTGTTAGTCCAGGACTACCACTACTACTACTACAGACTTTTCCTTCACCGCCGCCTCCTCTGAGATGTATATMCAATAGTAGGTCGAGAAATGCTAAACGTTTAGGTTTTCTATGGCTGCTATCATCGTTAGCACCGATACTGCTGTCTGTCTGCCGATCAGTACAGTATTTGCCGTCATCGCCACCGCCGCCACCGCTGCCGGCCTTAATCAAGTCCAGGCGTTCGGCAATTACTCGTCGGGTTAAGCGATGCATCAGTTGAATATCCCGGCGAAACTGACCGCCCATTCGGGTTCGATAGTAGATCAGGTTTAGCCAGAGCCACGGCCGCTGCAAACGTTCAACAAAATAACGGCCGACACGTTGGACGGCCTCAATGTAGTCCCCGTTTTGTCGGCTCTGGGCGTTCAACGACACACCCATTACTGTCTCTATATATACAGTATATACAAAAAAAAATAATCAGTAATTATATGATATATATATATTTATATAAATAAAAATAATAATAATATTTACCCGAAATTATGTCCAACGCTAACGGAAACGTATAGTCAGTAATGTCCACATAGTTGTCCCAATTTTCACTGATGTTGTTGTTGTTGGCCATCATTATTAACCCCGATTTGGCAGATCTGTTGATTATGGCATCAAAAAAAATCGGCCAATAATTTACTAATAGAAATGTCGGAATCGGCAACAATAGAGTGGCTGTCAGTTATACGCCACTGATGGCCGCCTCCGCCGATGACAATACACCCCCCCAACCAGTCATTAAAGCAATTGATAATTATAAACGACTTATTTTTTGAAAATTTTTTACATAGTATTTCAATAAATAATTTTTTTAAAAAAATAAAAAAGTAATTATATTGTATAATAAAAAATAAAATTGATTTCCATTAATAATAATTATATTAAACTCTATTTATATAATAAATATAATATATATATATATAAGAAAAGTTTTGATTAATTATTTTTGTTATTTTAAGTAATTAAATGTAAATTATTTTATTATTGTTCTAATAATTATTTTTAGAAAAAATTAATTGTTTTGTTTTTCAAATAATTTTTTTTATTTATTAATTACCTTTTATATACATATTACTATTTATCTAGTTAAAATATATATATTTGAATTTAATTGTTTTGTTTTGTTTTTATTTTCAATAATATTTTATCCATGGTAACTTAGTACCATTAAGTCAATTACAATGTAGATTAAATTAATAAAAAATAATTATTAATAATTATCAAACATATATCAGTAAAAACATTTACTAATTATAATAATATTGATGATAAAAATTAGTTTAAAGTCTAGACATAGTGTGTGTGTATAAACATAAATATATATCAAGTTTATATTGTATTGTATATTAATTAAATTTTTTTTAATTAATTTTGAAATAATTAATTAAAATAATAAAAAAGTTTGTGAATTATTAAATTATTTTATAAATTATAAATAAACAATGTTATATTAAAAATGAAATATTTAAATCTCAAATCATTATTATATATTATTGTTGTTTGCGGCTCATTATATCAATCATTTGTATTAACACAATTATATTTATCATTTGAATTGACAACAAATGTTGAATTTAAATCAATTAAACAACAAATTGATCCACCAGCTATTTCTATTTGTATTAATAAGGATAGCCTATTGAATACTACATTACGCAATAAATATATTGTCAACAAGTTTAATAAGTTGACTAATAATACTGTAAAATATTTTGATTTTGATAGATTCAATAGTGAAATAACAATTTATGATCAAAATTCACTATTTATACCAATAAAAACATTAATATCATGTCATGTATTTCAAAATAAACGTCCCGTAAATTGTGATAAAATATCTCCTTATAAATATACATATAGTGGTGAAAGTTATTGCATTATGTTATTTACAAAATTTAATAATTATAATAATAATAAAAAATATTTAATTGATAATATTTTGGGACAAAATTCGATAATTTTTAAATTTTACAATAATACGATATTTAACAATTATATCAATTATATCAATGTAAAATTTCATGATAATAGCGAATTATTATATTATGGTGAAAACAATATATTAATAACTAAAAACAATAATAACAATAATTTGGAAATTAAATTTAATCGTTTAACTAAAATAAATAAAACTATTAATAATAAAATATTAACATCGAAACAATGTTTTTTTCAATGTTATGTTAATAATTATTATAACATTTATAATTATTATCCTAAATCAATTTTTTATCACAATAATAATTTTGTTGAAAATTTATTATTTGACAATAAAAGTAACGACAATATTATTAATAATAACTGTATAGACAAATGTTTACATATAATTGATTATAGTTCATATGTATATGAATTAAATCATAATACAAATTATAATAATGATTTAACTAATACTAGTTACAAAATTGATATTTATTTTAGTCACCTTGATGAATATATTTATATAACTACTTATAGACTACTATTTGTAGAGTTTTTTTCATTATTAGCAAGCTTATTTAGTCTATACTTTGGAATTTCTATTTTACAATTTACTGATTTTAGTGAAAAATTTTTAAAAAAATTTAAAACTAAATTTATTATTTATTCGAAAAATTTTTATAATTATATATTCAACGTAAATGTTAATCATAGTAATTTAAAATTAAAAGTTGTTTATAATAAAACAATTGTATATAAGTAGAAAATAGCTAATATAAAATATTGTAAATATTTTAATTAATTTTTAAATATTAATAATAAATGTATAAATTTATAAAAAAAATAATTAATCGAATAATTATGTATATTATTATTAAAATAATAAATTGTTTTTTTAAATATAAATTAACATAATTTTAATTTATTCATTTTAAATATATATATATATATATAAATTGTATTTATATATTATTACAACAAATAATTATCGATATTATTAAAAAAAAACAATAAAAACTATAATAATAATAATCTAAATTAAAAAATTATTTTCATATAAAATAAAAAATATTATTATTAATATTAATATTATAGTCGTCTACAATAGTTTTGTAATTCAATCTCTGTATCAAAATCACCTGGATACTTTATAATAAAACATTTAAGATTTTCAGGACAACAAAAATCTTTATAATAGCCCTCCTGTTCACAGTATCTTTCATCTGATTTACACTTTTTATGGTTATTATGATTATGTTTACCACCATCTGATTGAACTAATAATAATAATAATAATAATAATAATCAATAACAACATTAAAAATAATATAAATATATATATATATATATAAATTATTTGAATATTGTAAGAAAAATAGTTTTTTTTTAAATTTAATTTACAGACAACAATAAGCAATATTAAAATTTTTAACTATATTTATTATTAATAATAATAATAATAATAATAATAATAATAATAATAATATAACAACTTACTTAAATTAATCAACACAAATAAACAAACAGTTAATAGTATAAATTTTAACATTTTGGTCATTTTCAGTGTATGATTTTATTAGTAAATTTGTTTTATTTAATATTTAATAAAAAAATTATTTTTTTTGATGTTTATATACTTTTTCTAATATTAAATAATTTTCTAAATAATGCTTTGTAATATAAAATAAACATATTTTTATAGTTACAATAAACTTTTATATAATTTATTTATTAACATTAATTGTTAAACTATTACTTTTATAGTTCATTAATTTAATAAATAATAAAAAATAATATAATTTTCATTAAATATAAGGCATTTTTGTAGAATTATTTTTTTAATAATATTAACTATTTATTCAAATTATATATTAAAATATATAATTATTTATTTTATTAGTTTATTAACACAATAAATATTTTCTTTAAACAATAAGTTATTTATTAATTTTAAACATTTTTTACATTATAAAAACTTTTATTAAATTATATAATAATTATTTTTTTTAAATATGATAAATTGTTTATTAAAATATAATTAATATTATTATATATATTATTTTTTTTATAAAAATCACATTAAAAACTATTATTAATATTTTTATATATTTTAATTAAAATAATTCTTATGTTTAGTAATTATTAAAAAAAATAAATAAAAATAAACTATAAATACTATCATAAAAATATTTTATATTATATTTTACTTGAATTTATCAATCAATGTATTTATAAATAATATATTTTTAACAAAAAAATACTATTAAATACTAAATAAGTTTAAGAAAACTAATATTTATAATAAAAAAAACCCTTAAAAATCTATTTATTTAGTTTAAAAATAATTAAGATTTAGTAATTATTTATTTATTTATGTATTTTTTTTTTTGATTAATTTCTGGCCATAATTTTCAGCCGCAATCCGTTAACCGGTTTACTCACTACAGCATTAAACAGTCGTAACTTATCGCGCGTGTCGACCGACTCGACCCGATAGGCGGCCATTAGTTTGGCCAACACTATCTTCAGTTCCGATTGGGCAAAACGTTGGCCAATACAGTTGCGCGAACCGGCCGAAAACGGTATGTAAGCAAACGGGTCGACGACCACTACCGGTGCTACTGCTGCTACTGATCCGACAGTAGTAACCGAGGTATTAGTATTGGCCAGAAAGCGCTCGGGTTTGAATTGCAGTGTATCGTCCGGATAGACACGACTGTCCAAATGCATACGTCCTATACAGACAAACAGTGATGAACCGGCCGGTACTGTATACTGACCGCCAACCACCAGATCCTGGCTTATGTCGCGCGTAATGATCGGTACCGGTGGATACAGGCGTAACGATTCACGGAGTACGGCATCCAAGTAAGGCATACGGCGTAGTTGGTCGCCGCGGACATCGGTGTCGGCAACGATAGACTGGGCATCCAATTCCTGATGCAAACGGCGCTGAACATCGGGATACAGACCCAACAGATACAGTGTCCACGACATACATAGGGCACTGGTGTCGTGTCCGGCAAACATAAAAGTGTCCACTTCTTCCCGGATGTCTTCAAGTGTTAGTCCAGGACTACTACCAGTACTACCACTACTATTACCGACTACCGCCGCCTCCTCTGAGATGTATATCCAATAGTAGGTCGAGAAATGCYAAACGTTTAGGTTGTCTATGGCTGCTATCATCGTTAGCACCGATACTGCTGTCTGTCTGCCGATCAGTACAGTAGTTGTCGTCACCGCCACCGTCGCCACCGCTGCCGGCCTTAATCAAGTCCAGGCGTTCGGCAATTACCCGTCGGGTTAAGCGATGCATCAGTTGAATATCCCGGCGAAACTGACCGCCCATTCGGGTTCGATAGTAGATCAGGTTTGGCCAGAGCCACGGCCGCTGCAAACGTTCAACAAAGAAACGGCCGACACGTTGGACGGCCTCAATGTAGTCACCGTTTTGTCGGCTCTGGGCGTTCAGCGACACACCCATCACTGTCTCTATATATATACATACAGTTTATATACACACAAAAAATAATCAGTAATTATATGATATATATAAGAAAAATAATAGTTACCCGAAATTATGTCCAACGCTAACGGAAACGTATAGTCAGTAATGTCTACATAGTTGTCCCGATTTTCACTGTTGTTGTTGTTGTTGGCCATCATTTTCAACACCGATACGCGTAGACGTTCAACCATTATATTGCATTGTCTGTTGATTATCGGTTCAAAATCGGCCAACAATTTCTGATGAAATGCCGGTGTCAATAGTCTCCGTCGGCTACGCCACAGATCGGCACTGTTGTTGATTAGCAAACCTTTACCCAACCAGTCGTTTAGCAATTGATATTCAAACGGCTTCTCTATGTTTACATTGTCTTTCAATAGATCCTTATTTTATATTTTTAAAAAAAAATTATTTATTTCAGATATTATTTARTTATATAACWATAACAACTATATATAGTATTAATATATAATATATTAACAATTAAAATGGCTAATTATGTATAACTATTACTATTACTACTACTACTAATAATAATATTATTACTACTATACAGTATAGCATACCTGAGCTAATCGATGGTCAAACAAAAATATCCATTGTTTRTAACCGCACTGTAATCTGAATATACCATCATTTTTATACAATACTGTCATTGATTGGACTATTTCGTCGAAAACTTTAATGAAAAATAAATTATTAGTAATCATAWTAAATATATATAAAAAAAAWWATAATAATTAGTTAATTAATAGATGAAAAATATATTGAAAATTAAATATTTAATTAATAATTACCGCATAAATCGTTTGGTTTATGCGTCCAAATAATGTCCAAATTGCCAATAAATGGATATCTAGGTCGAGGTCCGGGTATTTGTTGACATATCCTAAACATACGRTTATATTTAGTCCATTCAATAATACTATAGTTAATTAGTTTATATAAAATCAATATTATTAACAAATAAATTGTTGCTGTTTTTAGTAGACTATTAATGTCTAGACTTGATGTTAACAATAACATCAAGTTTTTCATAATATTATTTTTTATAAAAAAAATTAGTATTAACTATATCATTAAAATTTTTAAAAATAAAACAAAAATTAAAAAAATCAATAAACAAATATGTTTTTTTTGTAAAAATACTGTATATTTTTTAAGTTACAATTTAACAAATGGTTGTATTTTAGATAATTTTTGTGTTTTTTAAATAATAGTTATTTTTGTTTAAGTAATAGAATATTATTTAAATAAATTAAATTAAAAAATATATATTTAAATGTATTATTTTTCTGCATATATTAACAATAATAAATAGGATTTTATTTTTGCAAAACATTTATTTTAGTAAACTCTATAACAGTTAACAGTATATCCTGTAATAATTATTAAGTAATAATTTATTTTTTTAATATTAATATTTTTTTAAAAAAATAACATAATGTAATAAAATATTTCATATAWACTTAATTAACAAATTAAAAACATATATTTTTTCCATATGTTCATTAATTATTGATTTAATTAAAATTTATTTATTTTATTGTTGATTAATAAAAAATATTTGTTATTTTCTTAATACAATATAAACACTATTTACAAAACACTTGTATATTACAAAAATATAATATATTAACATTTAATATTAACATAAAAAATATATTAATTTTATTTTAAGATTATTTACATAAAATTTTTAGTTAGATTTTAGAAATTAAATTTATAAATACATTTAAATACTGCATATATTTAAATATATTTTTGTTTTAGTATCATATTAGTTAATATTGTTATTTGCATATTAAATATACAGTAAAATCTATTCATATAAAAAACATTATGTATTATATATATACAGTATATATATAACAAAAATATAATTATTTATTAAAAACAATATGAGATTTAAAAAAAAAATCTTAAATAAATACATATATAATATTTTAGTATTTTAATTTTTTAAAAAATAATATATAGTTTGTTTCATAATAAAAACAAATTTAAGCAAATAATTTTTTAAAAAACAATATACCAAACAAAATATTTTAGTTAAAAGTTAGAGACAAAAAAAATATATGAAATATTATTGTTTATTGTTATTAATATTAAACTATAAAAATATACATTTTTTTTGTCTATCAAATTGAAAATTAGTAATAATAATAATACTAATAAAAAATATATATTTTTTAAAAAAGATTTATAAATATTGTTGAATGTCGGTTTAATTTTGGTATAATTAAAATTATTTATAAAAATAAGACTTATTTCGGTGGAAAATATCAATTTACAAAACAGTTGCCTAAAAAAAWTAAAATATAAATTATTATAAATATATATAWATWTATATATAATATWTTTTTTAAAAAAATTATACCCCAAATATATCAATTTTTTGTGGCAATGATGTCGTATATAACCATTTATCTGATTTATAATCATATAATTCAACTGAATCTAGTAATCCGCCATCATCTTTATTTAATTATTAAAATTTAAAATAATATATATTTTTTTAAAAAACTAAAAAATATTAAAATATTTACCCGAATAGCCTCCCAATGCATATAGACTRTCATCGATAGCAATCAATTTAAATAAAGATCTTTTTGATTGCATTGACTCTAAATTAAGATTTTTTTTWWAAAAAAAACTAAAAAAAAWTACTTTTACTTTAATTTACTAACCAATTGTCGACCATTGGTTTGTTTGCGGGTCATACGATTCGCATGATTTTAATATGGTTTTACCCGAACCGCCGCAAACATAAATTTTGCCCATAAATGATGCCGAAGCGAAACCATATCTTTATTTTTAAATTTTTTTTAAAAAAAATAATATTTATTAAAATTAACAAAATAATGTACTAGTATATATATATCAGGGGTTTCAATTTTAGGGGGTATAGGGGGTGAAGGGTATAAAATGAAAAATTTAGAAGTTAAAAATTTTTATAGTATGTTTAAATAACAATTTTTGGCAAATTTATTTAAATTGCTTATAAATTCCATATAAATTCCCTATAAATTCCCTATAAATTCCCTATAAATTCCCTATAAATTCCCTATAAATTCCCTATAAATTTCATATAAATTTCATATAAATTTCATATAAAATCCATATAAATTTCCTATAAATTCCACATAAATTACCTATAACTTCACTGAATAAAATATTCCCAACTTAATAMTTTTAAACTCTCTCTCTCTCTCTCTCTCTCTCTCTCTCTCTCTCTCTCTCTCTCTCTCTCTCTCTCTCTCTCAATATATATATATGTTATTAAATAAAATGTAAATTGCTAAAAAATATTATTAWTAWTAATTACAATAACCTTGGCGATTGCATRCTAGCTCTGGGTGTCCATTGTTTTGTTTGTGTATCAAAYMTATCCATTGAATTCATATATCCATTTCCATTGTCGCCTCCAATAGCATACAGTAGACCCTCATGTGATACCARTCCTAAACCATATCTTTCAATAGTCATCGGTGTTGTTAACTGCCAATCATTTGTTGAATAATATTCACATGATTTTAAAACTTGACCTAAATTTTAAAAAATATAAATTAATTTAAATTTTATTTAATAAAAATAATTTTATTATGTAATTAAAGTATTTTTTTATTGAAAAATCAATAGTAAAATATCAATTTTATTAATTTATTTAAACAATTTTTTTATAAAAAAAAATTATTTACCATTAAATCCTCCGCAAACATAAATAGTATTATTAATTACGGCAGCACTAAAATCACTGAAAAAAAATTAAAAATAATTTTTTTTTTATTAATTATTTTTTATAAATGTATTAATTATWTTCATTTTTTWAATCAATAAATAAAATACTCTTTTATTATATTCATCGATGAAATTRATTTCCAATTGTTTGTTATCGTATCGTATGTTTCAACACTTTTAGATCTTCCTTTAGTCTATAAAAATAAATAAAWAAATAATTTAATTTAAATATTTACAAAAATKTATGTAWTTTTTTTAAATAAAAAAACTGTTTAATTTATAATTGTTTAGTTATCAAAATAATTTWTTTTTAYAATTTTGCAATAAAATTGTTATGTCATATTTATGTCAAATTATTTTTTTAAAAAAAGTTAAGTTTTTTAATTATTATAMTTATWAATATTATTTGTTYTTTTGRAYAGATATTTTTTRAATATTTACWTGGTATAAATTATTAATATATACTATGTAAATTYTAAAAATAATAATAATAATAAATATTGWCATRGCMTGTCATTWATAATATATATACTGTATATGACACTGATCAAATAATTAAAAAATAYTATACTWTTAATAATTATTTACTATATATATATATATATACAATAAGGGACGATTCGTAATATTACGTTTGCATTTAGGGGGGGGGTCTGTTGGCAAATGATTACATGCAAACAATTGCAAATATAGTGGGATGAGTAGGAGGGGGGTCTAGATTTTAAAAAATAATATGTAATAAATATGTTAATCAATCCTAATATATATATATATATATAATTTTAGTATTTTTTATTATTATTATTATTATTATTACATTATCGCCGCCCATTGCATACAATTTTGAATCGCTTGAAACCAAACAAAAATTGATGCGTTCACTGGACATGGTTTTATTGATTGCCAWWSATTTATMMGTTTATTATATTTATAGCAAACWGACTGTTGGGMYGATCCATTAAATCCGCCGCATATATAGATAAACTTTTCCGATTGATTTGCTGTTAACTATTTATTAACATAAAAAAACAATAAACCGAAACACAATTATTATTSAATTATTAATTAATTAATTAATTTATATTTTTAAAATACATTAATAACTTTGAATTTACGAAAAAAAACAATAGTAATTAAAATATAAATTATAAATTTTGTTTGTTTTTTAAATATATAATTACATTAATATCATAAGTATTAGTAGTGTTTATTAAAATTATATTTGAAATAAATATTAATAAAACTATTGAATATATAATTTGAATCATAGTTTTTTTTTTTGGTTAAAACAATAAAAATAAAAATTAAACAAACAAACAAAAATTGTAACTTTTTATTTTTATTATTATAAATATTGTAACTATTTTTTAAAATAAAAACTAGCTTTTATATATATATATACCGTCTAAAAATTATTTGATAAAAATATATATATATTTTAATCATCAATTTATTTATTATTAACAAAGTTCAAGTGTTAGAAACTTTTATTTTTAAAAATAAAACTATTAGTTATTTTTTTCAAGTATTTTATGATTTTATAAATAATAATAGTTTCCTGTAGATAACAAATATTATCAATTATAGTTTAAATTAAAAAAATTAACTATTTTTAAATTATATAAATATTAAAACCAAATTGATTACTATGTAATTAATTTATATAGATATTTTTGATAATAATTATATTATTAATATTATTATTTTATATATTTTTTAAAAAGYTTAATATTTATTTATATATWTATATATATTGAATTAATTAATTAAAGACAATGATTAATATATTTGTCAAAATGTAGATTTTAAGTATTAAATACTTTACAATTAGATAAAATAATTAATTTTTTATCATAAGTGCTAATTCAAGTATTTTWTATCAAAATAATTTTATGTATTATCTTATTATTTAATTAACTATTTTTTTAAAAAAAACTWATTTTTAATAGCACTTAAATTTATATACAGTTTATCAAATTGATCTATTGATAATAGCAAATAATAGTTTTATTAATTATAAATAAAAACTACTGTACTATTTAGTTATCACAACTTGTAAATTTTAAACTAATGTTAAACTTTTTTATTTATTATTATAAATATTTATATTCAATAACTAAAATGTAATAACAATTTTATATATCAATAATCCATAAACTRTTTCATAAAAATTTTAKTCATTTAWWATTAATTATATAAAAATAATTATTATAATTACTATAAGAATATTAATTAGAATTTTCAACTWATGATATAATCAATAAAAACTAATTAKTTTTTGAAAATAAATAAAATTATTRTTTAATAACAATTTGTCATATATTTTTAGCTCTAYTAGTATTTTATAATATTATATTTATAATATCTTTATTGAAATATAAATGATATATTTATTGATATAAAAAAATAGTATAATAAATCAATTTTAGTTTTGAATATAAAAAAACATAAGACATTATTACTATAAAAAAGTTGTATTAATATAAAAAAATATATAATAATTATTACATTATGAATACAATTAATTCAAATGTTAATTGAAAAACAATTTTTTCTTAATAGGAAAAACAATTAAATCGATTTTTGAAGTAATATTTATTTTTGCACACAAAATAAAACGCTATTATTATATATTTATGTTTAATATATATATATATATATAAATCTGAAATTATTAGCTATTAAATTGTTAAAATATYTATMATTATATTASTATTATAKCAAACTTWAAAATTAATTAATTWWWAAAAATCATGAAAATTAACTTGGTAATATAATAATAAATTATCTAATCAAGCTACTATGTCTATCATGTTTTCTATATCAATCAGTAAAATTAAGTCAATCATATTTTACSTATGAAACTGTTACCAATGTTAAACTASTATCAAGTAGACATCGAGTAGAGTTGCCAGCTTTGACTATTTGTGTGGATAAATTTCAGATGYTSGATTGGTCTAGACATGGGAAACGTTTAGCAAACATATTTAACACAACATATATGGATAATTTGGATATTACAAATAGTAATGYTAGCTACCTGTTCAATAGGCTACCCATACGGGAACAATTGGATCTACTGGTACCATTTGATAAATTAATAAAATGTATCCTGCTAAATACTACTCTACAGATAATGGTACATCRACAACACCAGTTCCATGTACCAGAAAATCAGCTAGCACCTTATTGGCCAGCATTGGATATGARTTCCTATTGTTGGACAATGTTTTCCAAATGGTCGAACCTATCGGACGATCGGTTYCAAGTGGTCGACCAAACGGAACAGTTAGCTTATATGGCAAATATATTGGTAGTAATGCCAAATCAACAAAGAATACGTGTTGATGTGATTTTRTTGCACGTGCACGATCGACAKGARATATTATGGAATAGCWTGAAACGTGGACTATTGGTTATAAATGTAAATCAATCATCATCTGGCAACACTATTGGTTTATTAAGCTATACGAAAACAGTAATGCGATTAAACAAAAAATTTATGGCTACCGGTGCCGGTGCTGGTGGTGGTGCCGGTAGATTTCAAAGTAAATATAATTGTCAAATGGAATGTCAAATTAGKSARACATTAGCTAAATATAATGGATATCCCGATAGAATATTATGGCAATCCTATGACAGCAGCCTAACAACAACAACAACAAGTAYGGGTGGGTCAACTGGCAACTATAGTTTTGTTCAACAACWTCAACAACAATTAGCTGAACCTATAGTTAGCGAGTGTAACAAAATATGTTCAACAATTGTCGACACTAGACATGTCTACTATTCACTGGCTATGGATAAAACATCGATTAGTAATGTCTAAAATATTACTAATAGTTATTCAATACTATTGGAATGGCCATCAAATCCGATAACCATCTATSARCTACAGGTTCGGCTACCGTTCGACGAATATCTATGTTTGTTGGCCAGTCTGGTTAGCCTATATTTTGGTCTATCCYTATTGTTTGTTTTGGATAAAATTGTCAATAATTTTCTAACCAACATTATCAATTTGTCAATAGTATCAACTACTACTAGCTTAAGGCCAGTTATTCATCATAATAATAATTATAGTAATTATTTTTTAAATTTTAAACTATCACGTGATTTGATTAAAAAATCTAAATCTAGTAGTAGTAGTAGTAGTAGTAGTAGTAGTAGTAGTAGTAGTAGTGGTAATAATAATAATAATATGTTATTTACTATGTCTGATAAATGTACTGGTATAAATATGTAAAACACAAATTTTTTTWWAAAAATCAATATAATTATGTAATAACTATTTGATAAGTTATTCAATAAAGTAATATTTATATTTTAWTRYAATATTTTATTTGTATTTATTTTTTAAAAAATAATAATTTACTTAATTATTATGCACTAMAGATATAATTATAATAATAATAATAATTAGAGTTTATATTTTAATATTATTGATATTTGTTGTGTTGTGTAATACTAATGATAATTTATTTTTATATAATAAATATAATAAATAATATATAATTTTTAATATTATTTATTAACAGTACTGTAGTTATAAAAATTTAATAATAATTTAGCAATTTTTTTAAATTAATAATAAATTTTATAAATTATCAAATTATTTCACTTACTGATTTAAATTGCCAACTTATTTAAAAAAATTAAAATAAAATACAAGTATTTTTTAATTTGTTTTATATAAAAAAATTATAATTAGTTTTCTAAAAATAATAGAATAAAAATTATTAATATATAAAATAGGTATTTATAAAAATACTTTAATAAAATAATTTTTTTTAAATCATAATAAAAAGTTTTTTTAATAGTAATAATACTAATAATAATATTTAGTTATAGACTTATAATTTAGAAATAAGTTTATTATTATTATTATTATTATAACAAAGTTTGTTAATAATAATAAAATTAGTATCAGTATAATTGAAACAATAAATCACGCAATTATACTATTAGTATATTATAATATAAATTATAATTTATATACTGTTTTATGCAATTATTTTACAGGTATTAAATATATACTATATATATATAATATAATATTATAGTTAATAGTCATTAAAACATTAAAATAGTTACAATAATTATAATTTAAGATATATAAGCGAAATATCTAATATTATTTTAATAGCTAATAATTTATAATATATTTAAAATTAATATATTCTTAAACTAATAATTGTGTTAAATATTAAAATAATATTTAGATTTTTAGTAATATACAGTATATATATATATATATATATATATAYATTTAGAAAAATAATTGCATAAAATAGTATATAAATTATAATTTATATTATAATTATTTATCTACTAATAGTATAATTGCGTGATTTTTGTTGTTTTTTCAAATATACTGATACTAATACAATTAGTAAAACTTATAGTTATTGTAACTGTAATAATAATAAAAAAATTATTTATTAATTATAAGTCCATATATAGAATCAAGATATTTTTTAAAAAAATTATATAAATTGTATATATTTTTTGAATACTAGTTTTACAAAAACAAAAATGTTAATTTACAATAAAATAAAAAAGTTTAAATTGCTATTGAAATATAAACTAAACACTTATTTGGCTAATAATTCAACAATTGATAGTTTTGTCAATAGATTGGATAAAATTTGTACAAAAAATTATGTATTAATGGCTGAAAATTTTGATGACTATTGTCAGCACAGACATCATCGACAACATMGGTATAGACTKYCTCTCGTAGAGTAGTCATTGTTTTACTGTTGAGACTGGCATTTATGCTAACTGTGCTCCGGTATGCCGTATCAGTACTGTTAGACTATAATACTGTATACTACTATACGGCTAACAGTATGTATCTATTGGGCAATTTCAAGATTATATCCATATTGTTTTGTATTACCGGTGCAATAGGTATCAGTGCTACCATTGTTAACGATTACTATGAATGGWTGGGTCGGTTATATCCCATTGAATTGCTTAACAATATTATGCGCCAAACACAACATAATTCAAATAGTCTATTAAATAATGGCCTAACAATATCTGAGAGACAATTTGCTTATAAAATGAATTTATTGTCGAAAATATTTCTAGACTATATGGCACCGATAGTTGTCCTATTGTTAACAATGTTGCTTATAGTACCTACAGTACTGTCCACAGTTCATAACAATACTACCGGTTCCTCAAAACAACAACAACAGTTTCCATTGATAGCTATCATCCTATGGTCGACCCTAGCATTTATGAGCGGACACAATACAGTCTATACTGTATTTACTATAATATTACAAATATATTCAACAGTCAGTTACTTGAAATAGCAGTTAATTCAATTTTTGATTTATAAAGTCTTAAATCAAACAACATAATGTTTAGCCAAACAATCGGCGATTATCGCCAGGTTGTCCATATGATTGCCAAATTGAATCAGGTCTACAGTCGTATAGTATTTATTATCTATTTTATAATCCCGTTTCAAGTCAACATAACCGTCTATGTTATCCAACATAACCAACAGTTTAATAGTTGGTTTATTGGTATAAAATTATGAATGGCCATTGCAATAATATTGATTTATTTAAATCAACTTATTTATTGCAATGGCATCGGTCAACAAATGATTTAATATATTTTTTAGTCATTTTTGATTAATTATATTTGTTGTCCAACTAAAATGGATGGCCGCCAACACCGACGCCGACGGTTATCATTGAAACATCGGTTATTGATTATGTCATTTAATGAATGGCTTTCCGATACGGATATCGGTTTCTGGTGTCTGAATATGTTTGCCATTAATAACTATATATTATATCAGTATTGTTGGCAAATAGTTTCATCATATTTATTGATAAGTGATTTGTTAAATAATTTTTGATTTATAAAATTATTTATATTAAATGATAGACTGACTAATTATTCTCAAATGTATAGTAAACTATGTAAAAAAATAAAGTTTTCAAAATTCATTTATTAATTTTATTTAAAATAATTATTTAATTATTTTTTTTAGTTTAGACTTATTTTAATTGATTTTGTCATTGTTTTTTTTAAAAATAATAATTTATATAAAAAATTATATAAATATTTACTAAAATATTTTAAAAACAGTACTGAAATTATTATTATTTTATCTAAATATTCTACTATAATATAGATTCTAATACTAAAAAATAATTAAATAATTATTTTAAATAAAATTAATAAATGAATTTTGAAAACTTTATTTTTTTATATAGTTTACTATATCCTGTATTTTAAAAGTCAACTTAATATATAATATAGACTTTACTAAATTAATTGTTAACTTATTTTTTTAAAAGTAATACTTTAGTTTACTTTTAAGTATTAGTAACTGAATAAATTTAACAATCTATATATATATATATATATATATATTCTATATATATTATATCTAAATATATATATTAATTATATAATAAATATTATTAATTAAAAAATATCTCCTGCTATTAAACAAAACAAAAAATAAAAACAATAAACAAATATTTTTGTTGCAATTTTTTTATAAAACAAACAAAATTTAGTAATATTTTGTTTGTTTGTTTTTTTGTTAGTAAAAATAATATTTATTTTTTAAAGTAATACTTTAGTTTAAAGTTAAGTATTAGTAATTGAATAAATTAAACAATCTATATATATATAATATATACCGGTATATATATTGATATATATATTTAAATGTATAAATTTTGCATATATTAACAAAAATAAATATTTATTTTTATTTTTTTTTTGAAAAAATAAGTTAACAATTAATTTAGTAAAGTCTATAATATTTAATAGCATATCCTGTATTTTAATTAAGTAATTATGATTTATTTATTTTTTAAACAAATTAAATATTTTTTTTAATTGTTTTTCAATTTTTCTATTAGATTAGAGTTTTAATTTATTAAAAAATTATTTATTTATTTATGWTTGAAAATTATWATTTATAACTCAATATTAACTTTAAATACATGTACAGTATATTACAAAAATAAAAATTTGAACATTTGAACATTTCATATTAACATAAAAATATATATATTATATTTTAATTAGAAAATAAATAAAATAAAATCTAATATTTTTTTATTATAGTATTACATTAGTTTATTATRATTTGCATATTAAGTAAAATTGTATTAATAGTAAAATCAATACAAAAAAATWACATGAAATAATTTTTTTTAAATAAATATTTACCAAAAATKCATWTTAATTGTTAAATACTATTAATAAACTATACATGTGTGTATATTATTATTTGTTATATTAAAAATAAAATATCTATTGATATTAGAAAGTTTATATCTATTTAAGCATAATATAAATATCAATATTTACARATAATAAACARACAATTTAWTATAATTAATTATATATATATATATATATAASTATATATATCTTTTGTTAGACTATTGAATAAMTATTTTTTTAATTATATAATATATATTRACAAAAAATATTGATAATAATAATAATAATAATAAATACATATTTAGTTATTAAGTATAAGTTATAAGCAAATATAAAAATATAAARCATTTATTYATACATTTAATGATAACGCTATACAAGTATTTTTTTATTAATAGTTATTATATACAGTATATAACAGTAATAWTAATAATGTTTTATTAAAAAWTTAAAAAAATAAATTATATAATATYTATGATTAWTATTATTTAAAAAAAATATGGCATATCGTGGTCTAAAAATATTAATCAAATATATTAACTATACTGGCAATACATATTTGGGCTATCATTTAACTAATAATAATAATAATAATCCTAATAATAATAAACTATTAATTTTTAGGAAATTATGGAAATTTCTAATAAATCTAATATTTATTTCCATAATTAGCTATTTATATTACGTTAGGGTTGTCCACAGTCTACAGGTWTTCAACGCAGTAATGGAYACGACATCGTCGACATCATCGTCGGCAATGAAATTCAAATTACAACAAATACTGTATACCTGTGCCATAGTTGGCCATTCATTACAGATATACAGTCCATATTTGTTGATTGTCATCAATGGWCGTAAAATTTTAGACTTATTATTGCTAACCAATGGCAGTCATCAATACGTTAGTAATGGACGTGAAAAACGTACGGGTATTATGGTTACGGTTATTACCGCCGGATTGACCATRCTAATTGAACTAGGCTATTATCTGGGTATTTTATTAAATTTTCAACTACCMCTTATCGGTTGTCTATGTTTACCATTGTTTCTGATGGCTATYAATACAAAACTAATAATAACCGCATTGATTGTCTATAAATCCCGGATAATAGGCCGACAATTGGTATATTTACGGAAAAATTTACAAACATTTTCCCTGCAATACGTCTATCGTCGARTGTGTATCGTTGAAAATTTATCTWGGTAAATTTGATAGACTAGTATCCCTGTACAATTTGGGTACACTATCTATACTATCAATTAGATTGATGTCCGATTTGACGATGCTATTTTTCGGTACCAATCGTACTAAACCATTATCAATGGCAGCCATTTTCGATGAGCTAGTACAGTTTAGCTATTTGATTTATGCATGTTCAATTGTACCTGATCAATTAAGCCTATTGATTCAAAAAATTGAATCTATCTATCAATTAGATAATAGTAATAATAATAATAATAATAATAATAATTTAAATAATTCTCATCTATTAATACTAATGTCATTGAAATCCCTATCAAATGATATATGTTTTACRGCTTATAGTTTGTATGCAATTAAAAAACAATTATTGATAACATGTTTATCACTAATACTATCMTATACTGTAATACTTATACAAACAACTACTTGATGTTTAAAAATATATTTTTTATTATTATTTTTGAAAAATAAAATTATTTTCAATTATCTATTAATTATCATAATATTGTTAAAAAAAATTACGGAGAAACAACAACAACAAAATTTATATATTAATTGACAATAAATATTAAATAATTATTTATGTTAATTATTTTTTGTATGTTTTTTAATGATTTTTATAAATTAAAAAAAAGTTTTTATTTATATATATATTGTATATTGTAGTTTGAATTAGATTTAATTATAATTTTATAAATTAAAAAACTAATAAAATAATTATTAATTTTAAATTAATCGTAGATAAAAACAGTTTTTTTWWAAAATAATATTTTATTAGTATTTATAGTATAATAAAAATAATAATAAGTATCACTATTAGTATAATTATTATTATTATCAATATTTTTGATTAATATGATTATTAGAAAAATTATTAAAATTATTAGTTTTAATATCAGTATTATTATTATTATTGTAATTACTATTACAATYATTATTATTATTATTAKTAKTAGTAGTAGTAGTAGTATATAATCTATTATATCGGTTAACCAGATATATCATCGACAGAAACAATAGGAAACATAGACAGACATACACGGCCTCAACGATTACCACTATCTGCGAATGTTGTTCAATAAATATGCCCAACAAATACGGATTGACCAGATTTATTAGGTCGGAGCTGAATATAGCAAACGCACCWATAGGGTTAGTTAGCTGTACGTACTGTTCCAGATAGGCAAACATTGCCGGACACATTGCCGACAAGCCTAGGCCAGCTAGTATACAGGCTAGCCAGAGCACCGGGAGATTATATTGGCCAACATACAGGCAGATTAYGGCTGAGGCYAGCAGTCCGAAATGGTAGGCAATCATATGTTGAGGTGAAAATTTCATGGCAGCCACAACGCTGATTGCCCGGCCTACGGTAAACGATATGGCTATTGCCGATACCATAGCGGCTGATTGCTGGGCAGTTAGCCGATGAGGACAGTACTGGAAATAGGTTGCACCGAATGATGTCAGCGTTGATTCGCTAACACAATAGGCCGATAGCCACAGACAAAACAATATGATTGCCCGACGACGGCACGGAAAGTCTGGCCTATCAAACAGTTTACAGTCGTCGTCGGCCGTAACGGTGTTRCCGACGGCAATGCTGTCCTCCTCRCCAACGGCTCTATCGGCCWGTTTGGTGGTGGCGGTTGGCTTGTGGTTATATCGGGGCATTTGATAGCGTTTGATAAAATACATGGCCAAAAATGATACCGGAGCTGATAGAGAGAGAGAGAGAGAGAGCAGATAATTATTATTAGATTTATTTATTTAATTAATTATTATTTTTATTAAAAAAAATTGTTTAAATTTTAATCTAAATTAAATTTTCTCATTTTATCACATATTTTTTGTTTTTTTTAATTAATATAAACATAATATTGTATTTTAATGATTACAGTATAATAAAAATAAAAATAATATATATATATACGATATATATATATATATTTATATCTATTAATATTTAGCACTACTAACTGGTTATTTTTTAATAGTATTTAAAAAAATAATATATATATATATATAGTAATAATATTTTTATTTATAACATTAATTCAATAAATATAAAATTCAAATTGTATTAAAGCAAAACAATATATATTAATAAAAAAAATTTACTAAAAAAATAATTAAATCAATTTTTCAATGCTTACCTATTAGTTGAACGAAACCATTGATAAGAAACGGTGCCAATAGGCCGGTACGTCTRTCTATACTGTCCTCATCCAACATACCATCATCACCAACAACACTGTCGTTATTTAGCCAAACATAGGCACCGGTAGCTGTAATATTCATAACCATACCGCTAGTATTTGTCTCTATAAGCGGTACCGGTAGCTGTTGCTGGTGATCATCACCATCTGCATCACTAACAACAACAGCATACTGTTCCCCAATCAGATGACTTTTCAGTATCAACGGTGCAACTATAGTACCCAAACCGAAACCGCAGTGCAACAGCTGTAGAAACGGTGGGCTACGGTTGGCCCACATTTCGCACATCCATACGTTAGCCATACTGTTCCAGACACTGCTGCCCATACCGATGAAAAAGGCGCACAAATAGAGTGCCCATAGATCAGGTGAATAGGGTGTCAGGGCTGAGCCGATGCTCATTATGGCCAGGAATACGACAGCTGTTAGCTGACGATTGATATAGTCGTATAGATAGCCAACTGTCCCATTAATATATGAAAAATTAATTAATTATAGAGAGAGAGAGAGAGAGAAAGAGAGAGAGAGAGAGACAAATAGAGAGACAAATAGAGAGACAAACAGAGAGACAAACAGAGAGACAAACAGAGAGAGAGAGAGAGAGAAAGAGATCTTACATATGGTGCCAATCATATAACCGGCCGATAGTAGTGTCGTATACAACGATACATATCGTATGGATGTATGGAGTATGTGYTTCATGTCGACCATTGCCGGCGCATACATACTGACGGTCATACCCTACGGATAAGGAAAGTGGGGTTAAAAAAAACAATTAAAAACAAAATTAAATTAATTAAATCACTTACTAATGCAATGTGTGTGTAGATCATGATTGCTGTCAATAGATATTTATCCCAATTTTTTTGGAAATTTTTTACAATACTATCGGTTTGAAACATTTTTTCWGCTATTTTTGTTGACATTATTATTATTAGTATTATAGTATAGTTTTGATATTTTTTTTCAATCTATAAATTTCAATCTAAATTTAAACAACAAAAAAATAATAGATAAATAAAATTTTCCAATAAAATAAAATTGAATTAAAAAGTATTTATATAATAATAATAATTTTATTATAAAATTATTTTTAAATAAACTATTATTAAAATATACTGTAATTAAATAATTTTTATTATTATTAAAATAATAAAATAATTTATATAAAAATAGTACAAATAGTAATTATCTTTTGAATAAAACTAAAATAATAATAATAAAAGTAATAATAAATTGAAATGTTATTTACATTTGAAACAACTGTGACTTTTTTTTAAGTCAACAATTATCGTATCATTAAATTTATATAAACTWTTTTTAAAAAAWAATTATTTACTTTCAAAGGTTTATCTCAGCGATCAATCACATCATTAATAATAATAATAATAATATTATAATAAATTATATAAATATATAAATTATTTATAACATAAATATTAAACACACAAAAAAAGTCTAAATTTATCTATAAATTTATTTATTTATTTATTCAGTGATCAATGTTATAGATGTTAAATAAAACTTTAAACTAATAATAATAATAAAAAAACAGTATATTTAGAGTTCAAGTTCAATAGTAMTAGTAAATTGTTTTTATTGTACAATATTGTATTTTATTGTATTACTGTAAACATTTARACAGACAAAAAATTAAATTAAAAAAAATATATAGAGATATACTTATGTTTTTTTTAAACTTTTAAATAAATTTCACAAAATTTAATTCAACACATAATATAAACATTATATTAATTAATAAATTGCAAAACAAAAAATATTTGTTAAATTGTGAAACATTTATTATTTACACATAATTTATTTTATTTATATATCAATTTACTATCATATGGTTAATACATATAATAAATTATTATTTTGCAAAATAAATATTTCGCAATTTTTTTTGTATTTAATTTTTAATTTTACAAAATTTATAAAAAAAAATATATGAAAAAACATAAGTTTTACGGCATTTACTAGATTTGACACATCAATAGATTAACAAAAAAATAAATAAAAATAAATTTAGTTTATATRTYGCAGTCGTGAAGCACAGGTATGTATATCTACTATAGGCATAAAATATAAGGTCATAGGCTGACCCTTATATAGGGATTTTAGACAATAGATTGACCCATAAAATAGTCGGTAGTTATTTGTAAACTAATAAACATATAGAAAGTGATTATTATTTTTACTATAAATGGGCAAAAATGCTTAAAATTTAAGTCTATTTTTAATAATTATAAATTTTAGCTAAATTTTAGTGAACAATATTGATATTTAAAAGTTATTTTTAAAAATGTTATGTTAAAAGTGTTTATACTTTACAAATATTTAATTTGTTGAAAAATTCACAGTAAATAATTTATAATGAGTTTATATATATATAATTAAACTAAACTAATTTAATTAAACTAGTTTAATTAAATAAATATTTTAAATTATTAAACATATTTGATTTACTTTAAARAAAATACTTTTGACAAAAATATTATAGTAATAATTTAATTTAATAAAAAAAACTAATTAAAATATTAAATAATTTTATAATATATAAGTTAAAAACTATTCAATAAAATATTTCTAAAATAAACTATACATACAGTTAAAAACAATACAATTATTTTTTTGTTTTTGTTATATTTGAATGTAAATTTATAGATAATACACATTTTGACTGTATAAACAATAAAATAATAAATTCAAAAAAAAACATTTTAAATATAATAATAATAAGTTAATAATTTTTTTTTATATAAATAATTTAAATATTTCAAATAAATTTAATAAACAAGCAAATATCAAGTTAGTAATTTATTAAATTATTTTATTTTATTTGAATATTAATATAAATATTATAAATTTGTTTTAAAAAATTAATAAAATTAATTTAAACACAAAAAATTTAAATAACAAACGTGTTAATATTTTAAATAAAATTATAATAAAAATACATTAAAATTTATAATTTTATAAATTTATTTTGATTTTACAAAATAACTACTTTAAAAAATATCTAATTTTTTAAAAAKAAAATTATTTATTGTAAAATTATATAAAGTTACATCATATACAATATAAGTTACTAATTAATATAAAACTTTTACTTTTTTAAAAAAATAATTATTTATCATAAAATTTAATCAAGCATATATATAAACTAAAAATATAACAGTAATAAACTAGATAAATTATAAGTATATTAATTTAGATATTACAGTATATATATATATATATATATATATATATATATTTCAATAGTTATATTTAAGTCACTAATACTATATATATACTGTATATATATATATATATATATATATATATATATATTACTATAATATCTAAGTTACCCAAATTGATAACAATGTTTATATTATTAAACTAAATAGATTATATGTTAATAATAATAATAATAATAATAATAATAAATGGTTGCTTTTTTAATGTATTATATATTATTTATATACAGTATTTTTATTATAACTAAATATTAAGTTTGATATAATTAGTAATAATAAAATAGTTTAACACTTTCACTACTTAGATAATAATAGAAAAAACATTATTTAATAAAAAAAAACATTATATTTGAGACTTTCAATACCACTTAATATAATAGTTTTATTTTATAAAAAAATTATTATAAATTTTTTYTAGTACAGTATTTTAATAATAATAATAATAATAATATTGTAAAATATTTAATATCAATAGTATACTATTACAAAACACAATATACTAACTGTGTTTATGTACAGTATATATGATACATGTTTTTACTACTAATAATATATTGATATATTAATAGTTGTAATATTGAAATAATAATTATTTATATATATATATATTTAGTATAATAATCATCAATAATAATAATACTGTAATATCTCTACTATTTTTTATATATTAGTGTATTATTATTATTATTATGGGTTACGATAAAAAACGGTTTGTTATCTCGACTACCGGTGCCCCAAACGATTTGGACGAGTTTGTCTGTACAATATGTATGGACGTATTGGACGATCCGGTATTTTCCCATCAGTGTTGCCGCCAGAGCTACTGTCGCCAGTGTATCGGCCAATGGCTCAAACAGGTACCCAGTTGTCCCAATGATAGATCGCCGTTAACTATGGACGACCTCATTGGTCAGTCGCGTGCGTTCACCAATCTATTGGATCAGTTGCGAATCCGATGCGACTACAACGCTAATGGTTGTCCAGAAACACCCCGATTAGCCGATTTGGCCGTACATACTGTCCAGTGTCGGTATAACCCGACCGGCGATAGTGAGTGCAGTCAATGCGGTGTACGACAAACACCGCCGTCGACGATGACTACCACCACTATTGACGGCGCCGGCGGACAACATAACTGTGTGGCAAATCTACAGCAAACTGTTGCCGACTTAAAGTCAGAGCTCAGACAGCTTCGGGAGGCTAACTGTGCTATGCTTAAGGCTAACACTACTAGTAGTAGTAGTAGTAGTGGACAGTTGTCTGATAACAACACCAGCAACAGTAACAAACGGGTCAGTAATATAATAGTTAAGTCATAAATATTTGTGGACAGTTATGTCAATACAACACTTYAAACTAATTATTTTCTGTATAATTGGATTTTTTTCTTGAAGTCGTCGACCACTACGCCGGCACCGGGAGTACTACGTATCAATATGACCGATATGACCGGTAAAATGCAATCAAAAATAACCAAAYTGGCCGTACAGTTGGCCACCACCGGTACCCGTGGTGACCTATCGAAACGTGAAYTGGCCGTCAAAATCAAGCAAACACTTGACAAACAGTACGGCCAGGATTGGACATGTATGATCCGGGTGCCCGATCAGGCAGCCATTAGTTTCTATTGTGAACGCGAATATTTYATMAATTTTGATCTGGGTCCTAATGATAATTATGTTATTTTCAAAAACAAACAATGGTAGATTCAAAAAATAAAAAATTGTTTTATTGATAATAATAGTAATATTATTATTTTTAAAAAAATTGTTTTATTGTGATTTTTAAAAAATTATTTTATTTAAGTATTTTTATTATTTTTTTATAAATACTTATTAATACTTATTAATAATTTTCTATTCTATTATTATTTTTGTGATAATTAATTATGAATTTTTGTTTACTAAAAATTAAATATTTAATACTTGTATTTTATTTTATTTTTTATTTTTAAAAATTAGTTAATAATTTAATAATCTATAAAAAAAATTAAATAAATGTCAAAAAAATTGCTAATTTATTATTATTATTTTATAACTATAGTAAATAATAATAATAAATTATATTATTTATTATTAATATAAAAAATATCATTATTATTGCACTTACACAACAAATATCAATAAAATATAAAATCTAATTATTATTATAATAATTATTATTATATCTGTAGTGCATAATAATTAAGTAAATTTTTTTTAAATAAAATATTAATATTATAAAATATAAATATTTTTTTTTGTATAATTTATCAAATAGTTATTACATAATAATATATTGATTTTTTTTGTTATTGTGTGTTCACATATTTATACTAGTACATTTATCAGACATAGTAAATAACATATTATTATTATTATTATTATTATTATTATTATTATTACCACTACTAATACTACTAATACCACTAGATTTTGATTTTTTAATCAAATTACGTGATAGCTTAAAATTTACAAAATAATTATTATTACTATTATTTTGAATAACTGGCCTTAAACTAGTAGTAATAATAGTAGATTTAATTATTGACAAACTGATAATGTTGGTTATAAAATTATTGACAATTTTATCCAAAACAAACAATAGGGATAGTCCAAAATATAGGCTAACCAGACTGGCCAACAAACATAGATATTCGTCGAACGGTAAGCGCACCTGTAGTTCATAGATGGTTATCGGTTTTGATGGCCATTCCAATAGTATTGAATAACTATTACTAGTACTACTACTACTAACCGATGTTTTATCCATAGCTAGGGAATAGTAGGCTTGTCTAGTGTCCACTATTGTTGAACACATTTTATTACATGTGCTAACTATAGGTTCAGCTAATTGTTGTTGTTGTTGTTGAACAAAACTATAGTTGCCAGTTGACCCACCCGTACTAGTTGTTAGGTTACTATAGGATTGCCATAATATTCTATCGGGATATCCATTATATTTAGCTAATGTTTGTCTAATTTGACATTYCATTTGACAATTATATTTAGTTTGAAATCTACCGGCACCACCACCACCACCACTACCAGCATCAGCACCGGTWGCCATAAACYGTTTGTTTAATAGCATWACTGTTTTCGTAAAGCTTAACAAACCAATAGTGTTGCCATGATGATGATGATTGATTTACATTGATAACCAATAGTCCACGTCTAGCACTGTTCCATAGTATCTCATGTCGTTCGTGCACGTGCAAAAAAATCATATCAACACGTGTTGTTTGGTTAGTTGGCACTAATACTAGTATATGTGCCATATAGGCTAACTGTTCCGTTTGGTCAGTCAATTGAAATCGATCATCGGCTAGTGGTGACCATTTGGAAAACATKGTCCAACAATAGGTATCGGTATCTAATGCTGGCCARTARGGTGCTAGCTGATTTTGTTTATTACATGGTATTGTCGATGTTGTTTTACCATTAGTACTAGTAGTAGTAGTAGTATTTATTAGCATACATTTTATAATGTCATCTAACGGTACCAGTAGATCCAATTGTTCACGTATGGGTAGCCTATTGAACAGGTAGCTAACATTAGGATTATTAATATGATTATCCAGTTTAGTTGAATTAAATATATTTTCCAAACGTTTYCCATGTCTAGACCAATCGAGCATCTGAAATTTATCCACACAAATAGTTATAGCTGGCAACTCTACTCGATGTGCACTTGATACTAGTTTAACATTGGTAACGGTTTCATATGAAAAATATGATTGACTTAATTTTATCGATTGATATAGAAAACATGATAGACATAGTAGCTTGATTAAATAATTTATTACTATTACCAAGTTAATTTTCATAATTATTTTTGTTTGCTATAATAGTAATATAAAGATATTAATACCTAATATTTTCAGATATATATATATATATATATATTAAATAAATATAATAGAGTTTTATTTTGTGTGAYAAAAAAATATTTAAAAAWWATAAATTTCTATAACAAGTAATATATAATGATTAAGTATACAATGATTTATTARCTAATAATTTCAGATTTATATATACAGTATATATATAAATTTATATATATATATATATATATATATTAATTAAGTGTTGTGTAAAAAATATTTCGTCAAAAATCGATTTAATTGTTGTTTTATTTTTTTTTCATTGAAAAAAATTATGTTTTTTCAAATAACATTTGTTAATTAATTGTATTCATAATGTAATTGTTTGTCAATTAATATATATATATATATATATATATATTAATAGTTTTGTATGTTTCGTATAGTCTAAACTAAAATTGATTTATCATATTATTATTACATCAAAAAAATAATAAAATATATTCAAATGAAAACATAATTAATAATTCAATTAAGTTATTAAAATAATTGTTTGAAATAAAATATCTGACAAATTGTTAGAAACAATAATTTTTATTTTATTTATTAAATAAAAATAATTAGTTTTTATTGATTATAAGTAGTAAACAATTGTAGTATTCTTATAGTAATTATAATTATTATTTCATATTTGATAATAAATTAATATTAACATATTTTTAGAATATTTTATTTTTTGATACAAAAATTGCTACTTTTAAGCTATTGGATTTTAATAATGAAAAAATTTAACATTTTAATACAATAAACTTACAAATATATAATTAAAAATATAAGTAATATAGTAATAGTTTCTGAAAATATAAAATAATAATAAAATATATAATTAATTATTATAAATTAGCTAATATATAAAAAAATATATTTTCTAAACATATTACAAAAATAGATAAATTACTATAATTTAAAACAAAGTTAAAACTTAATTGAATATACTAATATATTTTTAAAAAATAATCATTAATGTTAATTTAAACTAATAAAATTATAATTTTTCAACTTAAAAAACATAAATATTGATTTTAAATATTTTCATCAAATTAAATATAAAATAAATAATTTTATTCAAAAAAATAAATTATAAATTATTTAACAAATCACTTATCAAAAAATATGATGAAACTATTTGCCAACAATACTGATAGAGTATATAGTTTTTAATGGCAAACATATTCAGACACCAGAAACCGATATCCGTATCGGAAAGCCATTCATTAAATGACATAATCATTAGCCGATGTTTCAATGATAACCGTCGGCGTCGGCGGCCATCCGTTAGCTGGACAACCAGAAACCGGTGCATCAATGGTCGGCAGCAATGGGCATACTTGTTGACCGATGCCATCAAATAGTTGACAACAACTAGCATACCTATAATAATGCCCAGTTCACAATAGGCTACACCAATAATCCACGTATTGAATCGTTGATTATATTGGATAACATAGACGCTTATGTTGATTTGAAACGGTATTATAAAATAGATAATAAATAGTATACGACTGTAGACTTGATTTAATTTAGCAATCATATGGACAACCAGGCGATAATTGCCGACTTTATGGCTAAACAGGTATAGGCTGTTTGATTTGATAATACTATCGGCTAATCGTCTATTAACTTGAATTAACTGGTATTTCAAGTAACTGACTGTTGTATATATTTGTAATGTTATAATCGATACACTGGTCGATGCATTATGTAAACCACATATACCTACTAGAGCTATGGTCGACCATATGATGACAGCTATCAGTAGTTGTTTTGAGGAACCGATCGGACTGTTATGTAAATAGGACAGTACTGTAGGTACTATCAGCAACATTGATATAAATAGTACAACCATAGGTACCATATATTCAATCATAATTGTCAATTGAAATATTTTTCTAGCAAATTGTCGTTCATTTAAAATACCAATATTTAATTGACTATTAGTTTGTTGGCGCATAATATTGTTAAGCAATTCAATCGGGTATAACTGTCCCATCCATTCATAGTAATCGTTAACAATGATAACACATATACCTATGGCACTGGTTAGACAAAACAGGATGGACATAATCTTGTAATTGCCCAATAGATACAAACCGTTAGACATATAGTAGTAGACATTGTTATTATCAAACAGTATGGATATGGCATACCGGAGCACAGTTAGCATAAATGCCAGTCTCAACAGTAAAACAATGACTACTCTACGTGAGGACAGTCTATAACGATGTTGTTGTTGGTGTCGATGACAATAGTCATCAAAATTTTCAGCCATTAATACATAATTTTTTGTACAAATTTTGTCAAATCTATTGACAAAACTATCAACTGTTGAATTATTAGCCAAACTATTGTTTAATTTACATTTTATTAATAATTTAAACTTTTTTAGTTTAATGCAAATAAATTTTTGTAGTTTATTGCTAATAAAATGTTTTAGTTTATTGTAAGTAAACATTTTTTTTTGTTGTTGTAAATAAAATATTTTAAAATAATTATAACTTAATATTTTAATAATATATTAATATTTTAATAATATATTAATATTTTAATAATATATTAATATTTTAATAATATATTAAAATATTTTAATAATATATTAAAATATTTTTAATAATATATTTATATTTTAATATTATAATTCTAGGTGCATTTATAATTTATAAATTAATTTATAATTTTAATTATAGATTATTAGTTTTAGTATTAGATTATTATTATTATTAGAATATTTATAAAAATAAAATTTAATAAATTTTTATAAATATATATTTTAGTTTTGCAATACTCATAAAAAATCACGCAATTATACCATTAGTATCTATATTAATATAATATTATAATATAAAATAATAATAATAATTTCAGTAATGTTTTTAAAATAAGAAAAATATTTCAGTAAAAAATTTATTTATTTTTTTATATAATTATTTTTAAAGACAGTGGCAAAATCAATTAAAATAAGTTTAATCTAAAAAAAACAATAACTAAATAATTATTTTAGTTAAAATAGGCTTAAAATTTACAATTAATAAATAAATTTCGAAATTTTTATATACAGATTAATATTAAGTTTTTTAATATACAGTTGAAAGATACAGGTATTTAAAATAATTGAAATCTGGTTAAAATTATGAATTTTAAACTTAAAAAAACATAGATATTGATTTTATCTATATTTTCATCGATTTAAATATAATAATATAAATAATTTTTATAAATCAAAAAAAAAATCTATAAATTATTCAAACAAATCACTTATCAATAGATATGATGAAACTGTTTGCCAACAATACTGATAGAGTATATAATTATTTATTGGTAAACATATTCAGACACCAGAAACCGATATCCGTATCGAAAAAACCAATCATTAAATGACTGAATCATTAGCCGATGTTTTCAAATGATAACCGACGGCGTCGTTGTTGGCGGCCATCCGTTAGCTGGACATCAACAACGAGATAGCGGTGTAGTAAT